ACGTGCATTGATATTTCTAGCCATCAATTATGTAAGTCAGATAGGGTGTTCTAATTAACTATAATCTGTCACATAATCAAAAGATTACAATTACATATTACACTTTCAAATAGCATTGAAACTCTGGGGAGAGCCTGTAGCCAAGTGGTTAAGGTGGCTGGATCCCATATGGTTGGCCAAACAGTTCAAGTCAAGTCCCAGACTTGAGTGTGTATGCGTGTATGCTTAAATCCTGAAAGAAGGGAGAGAAGGAGAAGGGATTGCATGCAGCATGATCATTCCCCATGGGGAGGTGCTTTTTTGCTTCCTCTCTCTCTCTCTTTTTTTTAAAAATTTTTTGGGAGAGATTTTTGCTATAGGGCATGTGTGCTTGCCAGAAAGACAGAGACAGAGAGACGGAAAGCAAGAAATCACACACACACACACACACCCCCTGGGGAATGGCCATGCCACAATCCCTTCTCCTCCATTCTCCTCTCAGGATCTTGGGAATGCACACACGCACTCCTGATGTGAGTTTAAGCCACTGGGTCCAGGACTCAAACCACAGGACTCAAACCACAGTCAACTACATGGGAGTCCAGTGACGTAGCCATTACACCATCTGCTTGGTCCTCTTTCTTCCTCTCTTTCTGTCTCTCTCCTTTAAATGTACATGCCCTCTGGCAAATTACAAAAAGAAATCCCTAGCTCTCACACATGAAGACACCTACATGTATGCACAACATGATGGAAACCCAGGTAAAACAGAGAGAGAAAGAGACAGAAAGATACACATGCACAGACACACACACATACATACAAATATATACACATACATATTGTACACACAGAGAAACACATACACACACATATATAAAATTAGCACCCCTGATTTAAGTATCATATTTGTATGTAATAAAATATTAAAAACATTTTGAATATAGCCGAGTTTTCATCAGGCCCTGGTTAAAAAGAAGTCTGAGAACTGTTCAATTCTGCAGCATGCCTAGCAATAGTGGCCAGCTGCCAGCTAAGAGCTTTATCACAGCGTAAATGGGGTTTAAGTGTTTGTTTCCAGTGTAGGTTCTCGCAGCCCAGGCACTTCCCAGCCTCATTGTTCCTTTGTTCTAGCGGATGTACAAAGGATTGACTGTTTTGTTTTCTGGCTCAGAGAGATTAGATAAAGTCTGCATTTCTGAACTTCACTCTCTAGGCACGCAACCTTAAAATTCATTTTCTGTAGCTGATATTTTACAGATTATCTGTGTTTAAGATACAGTGATCATAACGTATTCTTTAACCTCTGGCTTAGTCATAGATGTCAATGTCAGATTGGTCCCTTTAGAACTATCACTGAAAGCAGCTGTCCCTCTTGTCCTTGTTCTTCAAATGCCACTTCAGCAAAATTGCATCATCTCAGTTGGATACGACAGATTTGAGCTTGAGTTTCATAGGCTGTTAAACTTACATGTTAGTGAAGTCCCTTGTTATTACCAGGCAACAAGAAAACTTTCTTTTTCTTTAATTATTTTATTTAACTTTATTTATTTATTTAAATTTGACCAGAAAGGGACAGAGAAAGAGAGAGAGATAGAGAGACAGAGAAAGCTGCCAGGTCCAGGACTTCAACCGTGGTTGGCCAAGTGAGAGTCCAGAGCCCTTAACCACAATGCCACCTGCCAGCCTCAAGAAAACCTTCTGTGAAGAAAAGTTATTTATTTTCATTTTATTATGATATCATTAATTATAGGCTGTTATGTAGGATAGCAAAATTTAAATACTATTTCCCCCTTTTCCAAAACTACTGGGTTTTTTTGGGTTTTTTTGTTTGTTTGTTTGGTTTTTCTTTTGAGAACCTACAAATTAGAATCATATTGGGGGACCGGCAGGGGCATGGTGGTTGCAGCGCCAGTCTCCACATAGCCATCCATGGTTTAAGTCCTGGCCCTGGCAGCTTGCTTTCTCACTTTCTCTCTGTCTTTCTTTCCCTGTCTCTCTCTGGTAAAATTAAACAATAATGATGAATAAAACTAAATTTTAAAAAATCATGTTGGGGGAACCAGCAGTTAGCATAATGGCTATGTCGCTGGACTCCCACGTAGTCGACCGTGGTTTGTGTCCTGGACCCGGTGGCTTAAAACTCACGCCGGGCGCGTGTGCGTTCGTGCCCAAGATCCCGAGAGGAGAATGGAGGAGAAGGGATTGCGGCGTGACCATCCCCCCGGGGGGTGATTTCTCGCTTTCTGTCTCTATGTCTCTCTCTGTCTGTCTGGCGAGCGCACGCGCCCTATCGTGAAAAACCTCTCCAGAAAAAAAAAAAAAAAGGAAAAAAAAATCATGTTGGGAATTTTTAATTTTATCTGAAGACTTTTTTATGAAGAAGGCAATTAAGGCTATTAGTAGTTCCAAAATAACCTTTATTTGATGTTGCCTCCATGTTATCAGTGATTCAGAGGAAAAGATTTCTTATGATCAAGTAGAAAAAAAAATAAGTTTATATTACCGAGTTCCTATTGCCTGTAGTTTCCTCTATGCCTCATTACTTCTTAAATCCCCCTTGGCATATAGGGATTTTTATTATAACATCCCAGGCAGACGGGAAGATGGAGGCTTGGGAAGGCTAAGTAGCTTGTCCAAAGTCTCAGAATAAGCGATGGAACTGAGATTTGAATTTAGTTCTGTCTGACTCTCTACCACTATCTCACTGTTTTTGTGGCAATATTGTCTCCTGATTATAGGCATAATAATAATTGTTAGAGCTAACACTGAGTACTGACTGTCTACATGCCAGACACTGTTGTGTTTATTCTGTAATATTCAATTTGATTTTCATAACAAATCTGCTTAAAAGATAGTACTATAATCCGCATTGTAGAAGGAGGTTACAGAGTTGCACAAGCTAGGAAGTGGGAGAGTCAGATTCAAGCCCAGGCTGTCAGACTCCAGGCCTACACTGTTCAGGTGAACCAAAACACCGTGCTGGAGTATGAGCCATGCAACCTTGTCTTCCAAGCTCATCTGTGCTCTGGGCTTTGCACTGTCTGTGAATTGTCATAATTAATGCTGCCTCAGCTTACTTGTCAACTAACGTGTAATTTATTATGAATTGTTTGGCATAAATCATGGCAATAAACACAGAGACATTAGATTTCATAGGCTGTATTAAGCCTATGGTGTCTCTTAGTTACCCATGGATAGCCTTATGAGCTGTCTGTCCATAAATGCCTTTTGTGTATACAGTAAAGTTATCTTACTTCTTTTTGTATTTGCATTAATCACACACATACACTATCTAGGCCAACTGTGGTGGTGCAGCAATTGCACAACTCTCTGTGATGCTGAAGCCATAACGGAGGGTCCCAGATTCATGTCCTCAGGGATTTGTGCACAGCAGGGCACATGTGCATGTGCTGGTGATTCTGGCTGACTGAGGCTGTGTGTGGGGTGAATCAATGTGAAGACCCCATTGGTGAGAGACTACTCTTTCTCTCTGAAGAAATAAGTAAATAAACTTTAAAAAAAGACTTTTCTAATAAGGTCTAGAATTCTTTGCATTATCTTGCAAGAAAAATAGAGAGCTGGATGAAAACTGAGGTCTTGGGACCAGATGGTGGCCCAGCAGTAAAATGCAATGCTCTGTGAGGTTTTCCAAGTTCCCACCTGGAGATCTCTCTGAGTATGCCAGGCACACGCATGTCCGTGATCCAGAGTTGGCTAAAGCCGGGAGTGAACTGTGGCATGAAGACTCTGTTGGGGGTTCTCTCTTTCTTGCTCTCTCTGTCTCTCTCACTCATGGAAGAAATAAGTAAACTTAAAAAAAATAAAAAAACTGAGCTCTATAGTCATGCCACGAAGACATCGGTCAGATGTCTTAAAAATTAATCTCTTAGGGCCAGTAAGTAGCATAACAGTTAAGGTGCTGGACTCCCACATAGTCGACTGCAGTTCAAATTCCAGACCTAATGGCTTGAAACTCATGCTAGGCACATGTGCACACATGCCCAAAATCCCAAGAGGAGAATGGAGGAGAAGGGATGGCATCATGGTCATCCCACCAGGAGGGGATGATTCCTTACGTTCTCTCTCTCTGTATCTCTGTCTCTTGGGTGAGCACATGCACCCTATAGCAAAAATCTCCCTAAAAAAATTAACTTAATAAAAATCAATTTCTATCTTGATCTCACTCTCTAGACCAAGAACTGTGTAGGATTTCTGAAAATTTCTCATATGTGTCTTTCAAAAGTTTTCCTTTCAGTGTTCTGGGAGGGGACAGTCTGTTTCTTAGATTCTACTCTCCAGTGTACCGAAAGAATGACTGTTTACAAAATACCCTTTGACCTCGTTCCTAATCCAGAGATATGCTCTTCATCCTGTCTCAATGGGAGAGAGTCAACACAGGCAAAGCAAAACTTCTCAAACTCACTTTATGACGTTGAGAGTTCAAGTGAATAGCTGAGTACACAACTTCCCCATTCTCATATGCTTAGGGGGCCCTGGCAGATCCAAAGTTCCCCAAACTGAGATTTTAAAAATCTCGGGATAGGGGAAATCCCAGCTGCTGGGAGAATTTATTTTGGTAAGCAAACTTACCTTCGGCTCCTAATCAGATCTGTATTTTTTGCAATTGTCTAATTCCTAAAACAAAGTTACATATACTCAACACCAACAATTCATAACCTAGATAAATGTTTGGAGCACATTTCAAATTATTTCTTAATTATTTCTTAGTATCTATATTTCCTGTTGAGATCTTCAATATGCATCCAGGCACTGTCTGGATGTTTGTCAGTGTTTGAAAAATTTGCTAAATTTGCAAACCACATAAAATATAACCTTGCTTGGATATTCAAGGTCAGAGCTATCTGAACAACAGCAAAAAGGTGTTTTATTAGAAAAAGGAATTCCAATGACTAGTAGCTAAGTGGGGATTTTTGAAAAATGAAATGGTAGGTTTGGAAGTGAATTAAATGACAATTTTCAAGTCTTTAAGCTGTGTTTTCTTGGTTTTTGCCTTGCAGATCCTTTACCTCCTGCTAGGCTTGAAGTCAGTAAAGACAAAACTACTTCAACTAGTTTGCATGTTGGGTGGGCACCTTCTTCTGGAAAAGTCACCTGGTATGAAGTACAGTTATTCAATGATAATAACCAGAAGATACAGGAAGTTCAAGTTCAAGAAAGTGCTACATGGAATAAATATACTTTTTTTAACCTCACTGCTGGCAACAAATACAGTATTGCCATCACAGCTGTTTCTGGAAACAAGCATTCCTCTGTAGTTTATACCAATGGATCAACAGGTAAGACCAGTTTACGTGTAATTGAGTATTTAATAGTTTGTGATAATTTTGAAGGCATATATTATTCAAGGAAAGAGAGTGTGAATTTCCTTCTGATGAAGATAAAATTTTAATTAATTAGATTTTTAAAAGAAAGCTGTGTTGGGGCTAGCAGGTGGCATGGTGGTTAAGGTGCTGAACTCCCACATGGTCAACTATGGTTCAAGTCTGGACCTGGTAGCTTGCTTTTTCACTTTCCCTCACTGTCTCTCTGGTGAATTGGAAATAATAATAATATTAATAATAAATGAAAAATTCTTAGGAAAAAAGAAAGTTGTGTGATACAGTAGAAAAACGGGACTGAAAATAGAATGCTAACTTGCTGAGTGATTTCGTATAAGTCATGGAACTTCTCTGGAACTGGGTTTTCTTCTGTTTGAAATAGATGTTCAGGCTAGATGGTGGCGCAGTGATAATATAATGCTCTGCACTGCTGGACTCACATTGGAAGGTCCTGGGTTCATAGCCCAGGGACCCCCTTGGTATGTGTGCACGTGTCCATCATCTGGGCTGGCTGAAGCAGAGGGTGGATCATGACCTGAGTACTTTTGGGGGGGGTACCTAAAGGGTACTTTTCTCTCTCTCTCTCTCTCGCTCTCGCTCTCTCTCTCTCTGCCTCTCTCTTTCTCTGTCTTATAGAAGAAATCAATAAATAAACTTTAAAAAAGAAAGAACTAGATGCTCCCAATACTCCTTCCAACTAAAATCCTAGGCAACAAGATTGTGCCTCATTTTCGTAAGTCTGTCATAAAACTTATTTCTTAAATGCCTTCCTCCTTTGTGTATTCTTCCCATACCATCAAACAGTGATGTTTCCTAAATATTCTTATGTTTGAAACAAGTCTTTGCTTTCTTGATGTGATGAGAAAAAGTCTTCTAGTGCATCCACATATCATGGTATCCATAGCACATTCTACCTCCTTCTGTCACATTGTTCACTCTCCCCTCACTTTCTCTCTTGTTTTATCTTACTCTCTTCTTGTTTTCCATCTTCTATGATTTAGTTTTCCTTTTTCTTTTCTATTTGCTACTATGCCAGTCTTCCCCCATTGGTAAAAACTACCTCACTACCTGTGAAGTGGGAGAGATAGACAAGGAAACTCTAACATAGCTGAGTACTTTAAAGAGAGCATTAATCAGGGGTCAGTGGGTGGCATGGTGGTTGAGGCACTGGGCTCCCACATGGTTGTTCAAGTCCCAGACCTGCTGGCTTACTTTCTCACTTTCTCTCGCTCTCTCTTTGGTGGATGTACATGCTCAATAGCAAGTTAAATAATAATGATAATAAATTGAATTAAATAATTCTTTAAAAAAGAACATTAATTCAAGGTACCAGCAAAATTTCAAGCATGCTGTTATTCATTTTTGCTGTTATACAAGTTAAGATATACAGAGAAGCACAAATGAATGTGTGATTTCTAATTGAACATACCTATGTCTTCCATAAGGAAATTATGAATGACATTTACATGTGCATTTTATCCCATTAGTGCCATCTTCGGTGAAAGATATTAGTGTTTCTACAAAAACTAATTCTCTCGTGATTTCCTGGGCCCACGGTCCTGGGAATGTGGAACGATACCGCCTGATGCTAATGGATAGAGCGGTCCTAGTTCATAGCAGTGTCGTGGACAAACATGCTGCTTCCTTTGCTTTTCATGGGCTGACACCTGGTCACCTCTACAACCTCACTATTGTGACGGAGGCTGCAGGGCTGCAAAACTACCGATGGAAGCTAATCAGGACAGGTAAGTTCCTCTTAGCTAGCTGAACAAGAATAAAGCTCAAATCACAGAAATGTTTAATAGCTCGGGCTCATTAAGGCCCAGCTTCTCTCTTTAGTACTCCCATCACTTTGCTATCGATTCCTACTTCCTTCTCCTAAGCAGGCTTCTACTGCTTTTGTGGCGTCACTCATGGGAGCCAGGATGTTTTCTCAGTGCCATACATAGACCTACTCTCATACGCCAGCGATTTCCAAAAGGCTTTATCCAACAAAACATGTCCTGGGATCCAATGACACAGTGACTATTCTGGTAACCCAACCTGGACTGACAAACTCATCTGTGTCAAGCAGTAATGAATAACTCATAGATATGTACTTCCATTCATTCAGTATTTAATGAGTGTGAGTTACATACTTAGCATTGCTGACATGCAATGTCGAAGAGAGATCCAAATCTATGCCCTGATGGAACTCACATTCCAGTAGATTCAAATGCTTCTAGTGGGTCTAATGTGCTGATAAATTCCCTCTCTTGGTAGATCATCTACTTTTTTTAAATTGTCAAAGGGTGCATGCATTCATCAGAGAGAAAGAGAGACAGAGAGAGGGGAAAAGTCTATATATCTCTGATGTATGTTATGAAAATTATGTAACTATACAGATGTCTTTCTCATCAGCATCCTATAGCTCCAGAAATGCTCCTAGAGTAGTTTCTAAGGCACTACATATTTTAGAATTTCTCTTAAAAGTAGATAACTTAGGGCCAGCTCCATAACCTACTGCATAAAGGAGCCAGACCTCACACAGCCTACTGTAGTCCAGTGTTAGTCCTGGTGACTTGAAAATATGCTGGACACATGTGCGTACCACAAATCCTGACAAGATGGAGAAATGGAAAAGAAAGGATGGCAGCCTGACCATGCCCCATGGAGCCTAAGCCAGATCCGTATGGCCAACTGTGGTTTGAATCCTGGCCACAGTGGCTTGAAAAGCACACCAGGCACATGTGTACACATGCCCCAGTCCCAACAGGACGGAGAGATGGAGGACATGGGATTATGGCATGACCACGCTCCTTTGGGGGGGTACTCGCTCCCCCTTCTGTTTCCATCTTTCTGTGACAAGTGAACATGCCCTCTGGCAATTAAAAAAATGACATTCAGAACTGGAAAGGACCATGCTAGGTCTTTTGACCAAATCTCATTTGCTCATAAGGAGCACTGAGCCCAGCAAGACAGAAAGAACCGTCTAGTTTTTCAGCCGACTAATGCTGGAGTTTGAACTAGAATCCAGGCTCCTGACCTCCAAGATTGTGCCCTTACCGCTAGGCCGGCAGCCTTCCTCCTTTGGTTTTACAGTCTTATTTTTGCCTTTTAAAGTGTTGTTTTCATCTCAGTAAGGAGTGTGACTTACAGAAATTCAAATACAGGTCAAAATTTGGCCACAGGACTGGTAAGATATCCTGAGTAAAAGTCTCTTTTCCATTCTTTTCTAATTAGTACCCATGGAAGTGTCAAATCTGAAGGTGACAAATGAAGGCAGTACCAACTCTCTAAAAGCTAAGTGGCAAAGACCTCCTGGGAATGTGGATTCATACAACATTACTCTGTCTCACCAAGGGACTATTAAGGAATCAAGAATATTAGCACCTCAGGTTACTGAAATTCACTTTAAAGGCTTAGCCCCTGGACGACTTTATCAAATTACTATTAGCTGTATCTCGGGTGAACTATCTGCTCAGAAGATGGCAGTGGGAAGAACAGGTGAGTCATGGGCTCCAGATTATTTCTTTGTTGCCCAAATCACTCTCTGATCTGTCTTAGAACTGGGTACAAATGAGGGACCAGCAGTTAGCGTAATGGCTATGTCGCTGGACTCCCACGTAGCCGACCGCGGTTCGAGTCCTGGACCCGGTGGCTTAAAACTCACGCCGGGCACGTGTGCATGCGTGCCCAAGATCCCAAGAGGAGAATGGAGGAGTAGGGATTGCGACTAGGCCATCCCCCCCCGGGGGGGGTGATTTCTCGCTTTCTGTCTATCTCTGTCTGTCTGGCGAGCGCACGCTCCCTATAGCGAAAAAACTTCTCCAAAAAAAAGTATTAAAAAAAAAAAAGAAAAAAAAAAAAAGAACCAGGTACAAATGAGAAAGAAAACTCTTTTTCCAACCTGGGAAATAGGGTCTATATGACTAAGGGTGTAAGTAGGTCAAAGTCCAATATGCGAACTGAAGCAGAGGATTAATTGCATTCATTTGAATTGCTTAAGCATGATTACCGAATGATCTGCATATTGTCTCTGCTCTGTGCTTTTTTAAGTCAACTATATACGTAGCATAAACTTATTAGCATTGATACCAATGAATAAAACACTTCTGATCTATTCTTATAGGGATGATTAATTAGCATTTAACCATATTTTCCATAAATTATTTTATTAATGTATGTCCTTTAAAATGTTGCCAATGCCATACATGTGTAAAGTACTATTCCATGAGCTTTGGGCATTGTTAAAATGGAGAAGACATGCTACTTGCCTTTAAAGCAGGCTTCAGCAAACTAACTCTACAGCCAAATCTGGTCCAATGTCTATTTTTGTATAGACCCCAAGTTAATAGTAGTTTTTATATTTTTTAAGGATTATAAAAACAAGCAAAACACCAAAAATAATATAAGGCAGAAACCATACGTGACTTTAAAAGCCTGAAATATTTATGAGATTCTAACAGAAAAAGTTTCCTGACCCTTGATTTAAAGAGATTGCATTTTAACTAAATAGGTGCAGAATACAATAAACAACAATAAAAATAGTATACTTTAATATAGTCTTATATTCTTATTTCCAGGCATGGGAACTGACTAAACACGTTACACCCATTATTTCATTTAGTTCTTACAACAAAACTGTGGTAAATGTCCTTGTCCTCACCATCTCACAGATAATTCAGAGAGGTCAATTACTTGTCCACAGTCATCCAGCCAGTGCTAGATCTAGAATTCAAACCAGGCTATTTGATTTCAGAATCCATTCTCTATCCTAATAGAGATCTCAAGTAAGAGATATGTATCAGAGAGAAAAAGAACAAACTGTCTTTCAAAATATCAGTTAGAAACTTGGAGGAAATGACCTTTAAGTAAAACCTATAAAATGTGAAGTTTGGGGCAAATAAAGGGGGAAGAGAGGAAAGGGTATTTGGGGTGGAAGACACAAAGGCAGAAAAGCCCAAGAGACCTAAGGTCTGTAGGCATACTGCTGGAGGCATCATTTGAAAGAATAGGGAAGGAGAGAGAGTGGCTGCAGGGGGTAGTAAGAATTAAGACCAAAGGGCCAATAGGTGGCATAGTGGTTAAGGCACTGGGCTCCCACATGGTCGACCACGGTTCAAGTCCTAGACCTGGTGACTTGAAATTCACTCTGAGTGTGTGTGTGTGTGTGTGTGTGTGTGTGTGTGTGCATGTGTGTGCATGCCCAAAATCCCAAGAGGAGAATGGAGGAGAAGGGATTGTAGCATAACCATGCCTTCAAGGAACAATTTCTCACTTTCCATCTGTCTCTGTCTCTCCAGTGAGCACATACACGCTTTAGCAAAATAAGTAAATAAATAAATAGAATTAAGACTGGAAGGATACAGAGTCTGAACTTGAAGAATTACAAATGCAAGAAAAGGACATGACATTTTATTTCATTGTCCTTTATTTCATTGACATTAATGTGAAGAACTTGAATGTTTTCAAGCAAAATAATAATATGATCAGAGCTACGTATTTTACAAGATGATTAATCTTTTCAGCTGGAAAAGAAAGAGAGGAATGTTGGGTCTAGCAGGTGGCATGGTGGTTAAGGCACTGGACATTACCCCATGGCCGACCATGGTTTGAGTCCTGAACCTGGTGGCTTGTTTTCTCACTTTCCCTCTCTCTCTGTGTGTCTCTTTCTGGTCAAATTAAAATAAATGAATGAATAAACAAAATTAAATAAATAACTCTTTAAAAAAGAGAGAGAGAGAGAGTATTGTTTCATGATCACCACAGTTAGAATCAGTTCTAAAAGATGCCATGTCTGTCAATGTCACCATCACTAGAAGTCAGCATTGTCTCTAGGGCTGATATGCAGTTGATAAAAGCAGTGACTGGGACCAGCAGGTTATGTGGTGGTTAGGACGCTGGACACTCCCACATGGCCGACCACAGTTCGAGTCCTGGACCTGGTGGCTTGCTTTCTCATTCTTTCTTTCTCTCTCTCATATCAAATTAAAATAAATAAGGGAATAAATAAAATTAAATAAATAATTTTTTAAAAAGCAGTGATGATATCACTACATTATTAACAGTGTTACAGAAGATTACGTTACTTATATGTTACTAAAATTATTTTAGCATTCATTTTCTGAGTGTCTCATGTCTCCAAAATGAACAAATAACATCACCCACAGACATCAGGCGGGGATAGAAAATGTTGAAATTGCAGACATTGTGTCTCTCCTACACTGCTATGCATGAAAAATAAATTCATATCCTTACTTTTAGTTTTAATATTTTCTTTTTTACATCATTTCACTATGTAGTTCCAGACAAAGTTGGGAACCTGGAGGCAAACAACAATGGTTGGATGAGATCCCTCACAGTGAGCTGGTCGCCCCCTGCTGGAGACTGGGAACAGTATCGTGTCCTGCTCTTCAATGATTCTCTGCTGCTGCTCAACATCACTGTGGGAAAGGAGGAAACACACTATGTCATAGATGACGTGGGGCTCATACCGGGAAGACAGTATGAGATAGAAGTCATTGTTGAGAGTGGAAATCTTAAGAATTCTGAGCGTTGCCAAGGCAGAACAGGTAAGCAAATAATGAAGGGTTAATGTCTGATGTAACTTTATTTTTTTTCCCTCTCTCAAGTAATCTAAGTAAGCATCAATGTCATACCCCATTGCTCTGTAAATTTGAGGTATTACAAACTTACAGACTGACACAGGGCTGCTAATGCTTAATTCTGTCAAACTGGGACATTGAAAAATCACTTTTACTAATGACTCCATTATTTCATAAAAGAAACAAGTAGGATGGATATAATCTGAGAGTAAATACTAATATTTCCCACAAAAGAAACTTTTGTTGGTGATCAGTATTGGGAAACCATTGCCTTGCCCTAATATAGATTAATGTCGGTACTTTAGGTACTAAGGAAGGGTGATGAGCATGAAAAGGAACATATTTGAATTCCGTAACAGGGAAGAACGAGGATACTAACATGGGTCTTGGTGTTCTTGCTGTCACTTCTGTGCTGTAATTCCTTAGGCAGGTCACAACTTCTCTGAGTCTGTTTTCTTAACTTTCAAGTAAGTGAGTTGCCCTTCTCAGTTCAACATTTCTATGAAAATCTCTGCAATATAAAATATGAAATATTCCATACTTGGAGCAGAACTCAGATATCCTTTCTCTTAGTCTTGCCTGATAATAAGGACACACAACTACACTGATTTAATGTTCTTGAAAGACTGTCAGAGAAAGAAAAGGATTGAGATATCCTCTTAGCTCACCAACTGTGTCTTCCAGTAATCTCGTCATTTTCCAAATATTAACATCTATTGGATGAGCAAAGACCTTTATCACTGTAAACCAAGCCACTTGCAGTATTTTACAGATGAGAATTGTGTGCTCTCCAGTATCTTATCACTACCCTCCAATAACTTGGCTCAAACGATAGTAGGGGCACCCAGCATGTTGGCAAGATTCTCAAGAGAACTTTAAACTGCACTTCCAGGTGAATATGCTAACTTGAAGTCAGCATTGCCATAAAGAATCCAGTTCACTTCTATACACTGAATAAGAAATATGCAGAATTATAAACTCAATTAGAATGGAATTATAGAAAAATTATTTCTTATATTTTAATTGACATCTAATTCTACTTATACATGGAGTACAGAACGATGTTTTGATACATAAATACAGAGTATAGTGATCAAAATATAGTGATCACCTCAGGCACTTATTGTTACTCTGTATTGGTAACATTCAGAATCTTTTCTTCTGGCTGTCTTTTATGCAAAATCACAACACAATTTTACATACTAGGTTTGGCTTTTTTATTGTTTTGTGTGACCAGCACATTGCCCTTAACAATGTCTCCTAGAGACTGAAATAGTAAAACATATTAAGGAAATGGGAGCAATTTTGATTCTTAGGATAAGGAGAAAACTGTATCAGATGGCATTATTACGGTCAGCCATGTCTCCTTTTCAAAAACACATCAGTGTCCCCTCCTCAGAAGTGAAGGAAAAGCAGTATTTAGTCTTTCCAAGGTGTAGGGATAACAAATATTCATAATTTCATATACACACTTAAAGCTAAACTTTTTCTTTGTGATTTGTGAAAGATCAGATTGTATTAAATATGTTTATATCACAAAATTTATATGAGGAGATTAAACTCTTAACATATGTGGTCAAAAATAAGTGATCCTTCCAGTAAAGCATTTTCCAATAGTACTCTTGAATCTTTACTTCTGGTTATGTTACATGAACAGTTTTTTGTGATAAGCTTTATTGTTGTTGTTTTTTAATACTCATAAGCCAGAACAGTCCATGGGTGAGAAGAAAACAGCTTTCTAAAGGATAATGCAGGAGTGTCTCTGAGTCAATCAATGACCCAATTCTCCATTGCTTTTTCTCAGTCCCGCTGGCTGTCGTCCAGCTGCGTGTCAAGAATGCCAATGAAACCTCTCTGAGCATCATGTGGCAGACCCCTGCAGCAGAATGGGAGAAATACATCATTTTACTAGCTGACAGAGACCTCTTACTCATCCACAAGTCACTCTCCAAAGATGTCAAAGAATTCACTTTTACTGACCTGGTGCCTGGACGAAAATACGTGGCTACAGTCACCAGTATAAGTGGAGACTTAAAAAATTCCTCTTCAGTAAAAGGAAGGACAGGTAATAATCTTCATAGGTTTCAGATTTTAAAGTATTCTTTCTTTCTGATTATTCAATATGCAATTTATAAACGTTCATTAAATGCCTATTGTGTACTAGGCATTGTTTTATGGGTCTTTTCTCCTGTGCCTGTTTTCTGTTTTACTAATTTCAGCTCTTATCTTTATGAGCTCCTTCTTTTTACTTTTCTTGTGTTTATTTTAAATTGAAGCAGAGCTGAAAACAATGCTTCCAAGGAGCTTTGCTGCAAAGGAAAACAGAAAAATAGGGACGCATCTAGTAAAGGAAGTGTGATTAAAAGGCGAATTCTTTTTAAATGATAGAAGCAATAACAGCATGTTTTATGCTGGTGGGAATGATCTTTTGGGGCGTTGGGAAAGTCATGACACATTTTTGCATAGAAGATACACCAGACTTTTCTGACAACCAGCAGAATAGAGGGGAGTGTTGATGGTGTAAAGAGAGAGAGAGGAGGCCTAATGATGGCACAAGGGTAATGCAACTGGATCCACATGGAAAGATTCCAGGTTCATGGCCCAGGGCCACCCTATACATGCCATGCATGCGCATGTCTGTGATCCAGGTGGCTGAGGATGGAGGAGGGCCATGGTGTGAAGACTCTGGTGGGGTACTTCTCTGTCTCTTTTTCCCCTCTTTCATGAAAGAAGTAATAAATAAACTTTAAAAAGGAGAGAGGGAAGAACTGTTGCAGTTATTCTATGAGTAGAGGAGAGGTAGTAGGGTCTAGAACACAAGTAAAGGAAATGGCTTTAGAGAGGAGCATGGGGGGACCAGCAATTAGTGTAATGGCTATGTCGTTGTACTCCCACGTAGTCGACCGCGGATCACGTCCTGGACCTGGCGGCTTAAACTCACGCCAGGTGCATGTGCATGCGTGCCCAAGGTCCCAGGAGGAGAATGGAGGAAAAGGGATTGCGGCGTGACCATCCCCCCTGGGGGGTGATTTCTCGCTTTCTATCTCTCAGTCTCTCTCTGTCTGTCTGGCGAGCGCACGCGCCCTATAGCAAAAACCTCTCAAAAAAAAAAAAAAGAGAGAGAGAGAGGAGCATGGGTAATTTAACTGTAGAGTCAACTGGGGAAGAGGGTCTATGGGGGCAGGTAGCAGTAAGTGAATAGTTGTAGTGGTGGGCAGTTTTCTTCACAGTGCTCTCATTTTCTCAATGAAATAGAAAGCAAAGTCATCCTTAAGAATCCTCTTTTGAATGTATATACCATTCTTATATTAGTATGTATTTCATTTTATTTCTACATTTTTCCTCTTTCTTTTTTAATTATCACAAGAAATATCATTATTGGTTTATAGAGTCAGTATCTCTTTGGACTTAGCTACCAATTGATCACCTTTTTTTTTTTATCATTCCTTCCCTTATATCAGAAGAACCATCTGAAATTACTTTCTTTCATCCTGGAAAAACAGTCTTCAAATTTCTGTATTGGGAGTTTCTAGTAACAAACTGTCTCCTTGGTTTCCTTTGGGCATGTCTTTACCTAGCTATCAGTCTTGAAGGATATTTTCCTTGACTTTCAGTTCTATGTTGAAAGTTATTTTCTGTTGGCAATGGAAGATATTATTCTAGTCTTTCTGACATTTATCGTTGGTGTGGAAAAGTCAGCTGTCAGTCTAATTCTTCTCTATGAGTAATCGATCTGTTTCCTATAACTATTTTTAAGATCTACTCTGTGTCTTTGGTGTTCTGTTGTTTAACAATAATGATCTAGGTGCAGTCATCTTTTTGTTTATCTTGCTTGTGATTTATTGGGATTTCTGTACTTTCAGATTACTATGAGTCACCAATTCTGAAAATTCTTAGCTATAACTCTCCAGTATGGCCTCTTCCTTCTTGTCTTTTGCCTCCTACCTCTTCATTTCCACTCTGTTCTCCTTCTGCTACTCTAGAACAACACACACACACACACACACACACACACACACATACACACAGGCACTCTACGAATTTGCCATGTGTTTGTTCTTTGGACTATGGTCTGAATAATTTCCTTAGCTCTTTGTTTCAGTCTCATTCTTTCTTCAGCTCTATCTAGTTTATTTTTAAATCTGCCCACTGGGTTTAAATTTTAATCACTACAGTCTTTACTTTTAAACATTTTCTTTGATTCTCTTCCAAATCTCTGCTATGCTATGTTACTCTTTAGCAATATTTATTTTTCTTCTTTTATTGCTATATGTAAATTTAAATGGTTTATTTAACATTCTATGTTTAATAATTATAACATCTGAAATCTTCAGAAGTTAATTCCTGTTGTCTATAGATTTTGCTGCCTTTTGTTCATGGTGCTTTACTTCTTAAATACTTGTGATATTTTTTTTAATTGTATGCTCATATTTTTTGGACCTTTATTCTATAGGAATTCTTTGAGAGCTTACTGGAAGGTGAGTTTCAGGAAGAATTTTCTTTTCATTTGATTTTCTCACATGTACAGGGCTACTATCACCCAGATTTACTTTAATCTAAACTGTCAATTGAAGTTTTTGGATAACTCAAGTTTTATGAATTTAGATTGCAAACACATTGAAGTTATCCTAAGATTATAAATTCTCAGAAGAAACTTTTTTTCTCTACTCAGTACTAAGGAAACTGAAGTGGTATGGAGAGTACGGAGTGAATATTTCACACTCAGAATGCAGTCTTTCAGGATCCAGTGTTATTTAGGGTGATGTTTGAGCCAATCCCACACTTTGCCTCCTGTCTCTGAGATCCTGCAATGCTATACAATTAAAGCTTAAATCTGTGTGCAAAAGATGCCCCCAAGACAATAGTCCGCCGCAGGGATCCAATTACCTGTTACTTTTCTGCCTCTGAGAACTCCTTACATTCCTCACAACTCATTGATTCATTTGTATTTGTATATTCTGTCCAACATGTGTAGTTGTGTTTATTGGGAGAATTTTCATGGTGTCTAGCCTACAAGATTGCCAGAAATAAAAGTTCAAAAGATTGTTTCAGACTTAAGATAATTTTTTTATCATCACTACTACCTGTCATATGATAAATGTATGTTTATCTTTGTAAGAAACTGCCAAACTATTTTCCAAAGTGTTATAAAATTTTACATCTTTGCCAGTAATGTATGAGATTTCCTGTTCCTCCACATCCTCAGTAGCAGTTGGTATTGTGTTTTAAAATTTAGCCATTTGGTAAGTATGTAGTGGTATCTCATGTGGTTTTAATTTGCATATTCTTAATGTCTCATGTTTTTGAGAATCCTTTTTTTTTTAAGAAAGAGATTTTTTTTTTTTTTTTTTTTTTGCTATAGGGTGCATGCACTTGCCTAAGAGACAGAGAGAAACCAAGGGACAGAAAGCAAAGGACCACCCAGCAGGGAGGATGGCCGTGCCGCAGTCCCTTATCCTTCATTCTCTTCTTGGTATTCTGGGCATGCACCTACACGCCCAAGCCACTGGGTCTGGGACCTGAACCGTGATTGGCCATGTAAGAGTCCAGCAATGCAATCATCATGCTGGACCCTTGAGAATCCTTTTATATATTTAGTTACCATTCATTTATTTTGAAGGGTTCTGTTCAAATATTTAGCCCATTAAAAAAAAATATTTAGGATACATGTGCTCAGAGAGAGAGACAGAGAGACAGAAAGAGAGGGAAACTAAGAAATCACCCCCTAGGGTGATGGCCACACTGCAGTCCTTTCTCCTACATTCTCCTCTCAGGGTTTTGGGCATGCACACACCTGAGCCCTGAGCCCTGTGTGATTTTCAAGTCACCAGGTCTGGGACTTCAACTACAGTGTCGGCCATGTGGGATCCAGCTGCTTTAACCTCCACACTACCTGCTGACCCCGTAATAGTGTTATTTTTTTATCACTGAATTTTGAGAGTTCTTATTTTAGAGACAAGTCCTTTGTCAGAAATGTGTGTTGAAATGTTTTCTCTCAGTGTGTGGCTTGTCTCTTTATTATTTTATTAGTGTATTTTACAAAAGAGTTTTTGTTTTGTTTTGTTTTTTAGAGAGATTTTTGTTATGGGGTATGTGCACTCTCTGGAGAGACAGAGAGACAGAAAGTGAGAAATCACACCCCCAGTGGGGATGGCCACACTGCAATCCCTTGTCTTCCCTTCTTCTCCAGGGATATTGGTCTCTCTCTCTCTCTCTCTCTCTCTCTCTCTCTCTCTCTCACACACACACACACACACACACACACATGCCTGGCATGAGTTTTAAGCCACAGGTTCCAGGACTTGACAGCAGTAGACTACATGTGAGTCCAGCAACATAACTATTACACCATCTGCTGGTCTCGCCAAACAGTTTTTAATATTGGTGTCCAATTTATCTTTTTTTTTTAATTTTCTAGATCTTGCTTTTGGTTTTATATCTAAAAAGTCTTTGCCTATCACAAGGTCACAAAGATTTCTCTTCTAGAAGCTTTATAATTTTAGGTTTTAAATATAGGTCTATGGGGACCAGCAGTTAGCATAATGGCTATATCGCTGGACCCCCACGTAGTCGACCACTGTTTGAGTACCGGACCCGGTGGCTTGAACTCACACTAGGCATGTGTGCATGCATGCCCAAGATCCAGAGAAGAAAATGGAAAACGGATTGTGGTGTGGCCATCCCCACCTGGGGGTGATTTCTCGCTTTCTGTCTCTCTGTCTGTCTCTGTCTTTCTGGCAAGTGCACACGCCTTATAGCAAAGACCTCTCTCCCCCCCAAAAATAAAAATATAGGTCTATGAACCATTTTGAGTTAATTTTTAATATATGAGTCAAGGTTTATTTCTTTTCATATAGACTTCTATAATTCAAGCTGGATTTGTTAGAAAGACTATCTTTTTACCATTAAATTGCCTTTGCATCTCTGTAAAAAAAAAAATCAATTAGTAGTTCTTTTTCTGGACTCTTGATTTTGTTCCATCAATCTATTTTTTGCCAGTATTATAATGGCTTGATACTCTACCTTCCTAGTGAAATCAGGTGATGTTAGACTTCCGATTTTGTTCTTTTTCAAAATAGTTTTGGTAATTGTAGTTCCTTTGCTTTCCAGATAAAATTTAGAATTAAAATATAGTCTTCTGATGCACTTAAAGTACCATTTTTTTAATGAGCATCTTTTTTTTTTCTCTCTCTCTCTCTTTTTAATTTGCAATAGGGCATGTGTACCCCAGAGATAGAGAGGGAGAGACAGAGAGAAAGTGAGAAAGCATCTCCCAGGGGGAATAACCATGCCATCATCTTTTCTGTTCCACTCTCCTCTTGGGGATTTTGGGAATCCATGCACACATGCCTGGCATGTTTTTCAAGTTGCCAGGTCCAAGACTCGAACCAAGCAGTCGGCCATGTAAGATCCAGCTTTCTTAACCACCATGCCACCAGCTAGCCCAAAGATGTATGTATCTTAATCCAAAAGTCAATGAAGTTTGAGAAGGGATGCCAAGATTCAAATCCCTTTATCATTATTCAGAAGAAAACAAAAAGAATGTCTGTTAACCAAATGCTGACTTCAAGATCTGTGTGTCAGATTTGTTAATGTATAGGAAAAGACCACAGGCAGAGGGGTTAGGCAGAGTGGACCCCTGTCTAGGCCAAATGACTTGCATTTTATGATCTTTGGTTTCTTCATCAATAAATGGGTAATAAAATCAACTTTATGGCATTGAGTTTTCATGGATTAAGAATAGCTAAGTCATATTAAATAGCCAACCTTTATGAACAGCAGCCTTCGGGGCCACCTCCATGGCAGGTAATACTGTACTGCTGAAGAGAAACTAGATCCTGCATGGTGACGGGTTTGAATCCCCACCCCATTAGCCTGAAATATGCAAATGCCCGAGCTCTAATAGTCTGGCTGGAGAACTAGAGAAAGAATATTATCGTGTGAGCAGACTCTGTGGAGATTGCTTCTCTCACTGTCTCACTCCCACCTACACTCTATCATGAATAAAGAAAAAAAGGAAGAAAGAGGTCTTCATTATTTAAACTGTAGAATAAAAACTATGTAATAAATACACATTATCTCATCCTTGGATGCTAAAAACTTTTGATTCACCCATATAAACAGCTTTTTCAAAATAGTAGAGCTTCTGTGGGGAGTAGTTCTCCATATGCCACAGGAAATAGAGCTGAGAGTCTATAGCACTATATATGATATTGATATAGGTATATTTTAGCACTTTCAAGTCTGTCTCTACTTTTTACTCATTTTTTAAATACTTCTTTAAGATGACTAAGCGTCATTTGTTTTGTCTCCTGTCTACGGTATTTTAGTGCCTGCCCAAGTGACTGACTTGCATGTGACCAACCAAGGGATGACCAGTAGTCTGTTTACTAACTGGACCCAGGCTCTCGGAGACATAGAATTCTATCAAGTCTTACTGATTCATGAAAATGTAGTCATCAAAAATGAAAGTGTCTCCAGTGAAACCAGCAGATACAGCTTCCATTCCCTCAAATCGGGCAGCCTCTACTCTGTGGTGGTAACGACAGTGAGTGGAGGGATCTCCTCACGACAAGTGGTGGTAGAGGGAAGGACAGGTAAGAATGGGTATATGTGTGTCCGTGACTTTCAGAAATCTGAGAACATGGGATCTCCAAGTAGGCTATTTTAGAACGTTTAATATATCCGAAACACTGACCAATCTCTGATTTTCCTAAAAGCCAAGCTTCAATACCATCCAGAAGATGTATGTAATGGAAATTGGGTAATGGGTGAGGGAAGAAGAGAATAAATTCCCGATATTCTAACCTCTCTAATAAACATGTCAGGATTCCTAGAAAAACCTCATGGTATGATAGTCACTTTATATTTAAGTTTATCATTCAGTTAATTTCCTTTGAAATGTTTATGTCCTAATTAAGGTAAAGAACTAATGAGATTTTTAAAAAGCAAATAACAAACAAGAAACCAACAACTAAGTCTCGTAGAAAGTATCTTCCATTCTCTTTCATATATTTGGTTTCAGGACATATAAAAGAAAGTCAGGTGGTGGTGTACATGGTGCAACTGTAGCAACATGGGAAAGGTCCTGGGTTTGCATCTTGAGACCTTCCTGAGCATTCTGACTGCATGCATTTACACCTGTGATCTCGGTGGGCTAAGACAGGGTTTGGATCATGGCATAGAGACCTTATTGTGGATCTCTCTCTCTCTCTCTCTCTGTCTCCTCACAAAAGAAATAGTGGGCTTAGGGAACCAGCAGTTAGTGTAATGGCTATGTCGCTGGACTCCCACGTAGTCGACCATAGTTCGCATCCCGGACCTGGTGGCTTAAAACTCACGCCGGGCGCGTGTGCGTGCGTGCCCAAGATCCTGAGAGGAGAATGGAGAAGGGACTGCGGCATGACCATCCCCCCTGGGGGGTGATTTCTCGCTTTCTGTCTCTATGTCTGTCTGGCGAGCACACGCGCCCTATAGCAATCCCCCCCAAAAAAAAAAAAAAAGAAAGAAAGAAAGAAAGAAAGAAAGAAAAGAAATAGTGGGCTTAAAAACAAATCTAACTCTAAAAATTGTATTTAAAAAAAGACACAGAGGGGCCAGCAAGTGGCATAGTGGTTAAGGCACTGGACTCCCACATGGCTGACCACAGTTCACCTGGACCCGGTGGCTTGAAAATCACACCAGGCACACGTGTGTGCATGCTCAATATCCCAAGAGGAGCATTAAGGAGAAGGGATAGTAGTGCAGCTGTCCCCACTGGGGGATGATTTCTCACTTTGCTTCTCTCTGTTTCTATCTCTGCTTCTCTGGTGATTGCATATATCCTATGGCAAAAACTTAAAAACAAAAAAAAATCACATACAAAGGAAATTATCTCCAATGTATATGTCCAAAAGTTGAATTATTATAATGCTCAAATCAAATAATGTTTTTAGTTTTTTTAGTTTTGTTTTTTGTTTTGTTTTTGGTTTTTGTTTTTGTTTTTTGTTTGTTTTTGCTATAGGGTGCATGCACTCTCTGTAGAGACAGAAAGCAAGAACCCCCTTTCCCCAAGGAGGGATGGCTGCACTACAATCCCTTCTCCTCCGTTCTCTTCTAGGGATTTTGGGCACATATGCACATTTTGGTGTGTCTTAAGCTGCTGGATCTGGGCCTCAAATCACGTTTGACCACATGGGAGTCCAGTGATGTAACCATTATACCATCTGCTTGTCCCCACATCATTGTTCTTTTTTAACATTTTCTTTTCTTTTCTTTTCTTTTCTTTTTTTTTTTTTTTGATAGACATATTTTCTAATAGGGCACCTGTGCTTGCCGAAGAGACAAAAAGACAAAAAACGAGAAATTACTCCTGCAGTGGGGATAGCCACACCCCAATCCCTTCTCCTCCATTCTCCTCTCAGGATTTTGGGTACACATGCACATGTGCCTGGCGTGTTTTAAGCCACTGGATCTGAGAATCAAACCACATGGAAGTCCAGAGATGTAACCATTGCGCCATCTGCTGGTCCCTATCACATATATTTTTATAAACAACATTAAACCAATGTTGACTACTGTATGCAGTGTTTCTTGACTTTAAGAGCTCCCTGTCAGAGGGAGCCAAGTACACAAATAAGTGGCATTATGGTCAAGTGTGTCAGAGGGGCATAACACCAAAAACTGAAATACAATTTTGTACGTAATGCAACTAAAGAACATAAACATTACACACACACACACACACACACACACACACAAACATATGTACAGATGCACACGCATATACACACACATACACATATATAATATATTATATATAATTTATGTTCCAGTTTCTTAGAAAGAAAAAAATAGGGACCAACAGATGGCCTAATGGATACCATTACTAAACTCCATTGTAGTCGACAGTTGACTGAAGTTCCAGTTCCGGACCTGGCAGCTTAAAACTCACATGAGGCATGTGTGCATGCATGCCCAAAATCATGACAGGAGAATGGAAAAGGAATTGTGGCATGGCCATTCCCCATGGGGGATGATTTCTAATTTTGTGTCTCTTTGTCCAACGAGCTCACATGCCCTATAGCAAAAATCTCTCTTTAAAAAAAAATTATATAAACCCAATAGATGCTTTGATAATTATTGATGAACTCAGAATCAGGTTGGTGACCTTGTCTGCTTAATTTTATATAATGGTTGTGAGTTGGATTTCAGGCTCCACTTTCTACATTGTCGACATTTAGATTGTATCAGCTACAGGCATCATAAATATGTCTCTGTAAAACCATGAGTCTTACCTATTTAATGAATGCCTTGTTCTTCCTAGTACATTTTATCTTCTCTTAGTTGTGCTTGGCACCATCTATGCTATAGCACAGCTAAAGATGGGAGCTTAAAAGCTTAGCTTGGAAATCAGGAGGCTTGGACTCTGGTTTTAGCTCTGCCATTAATTTATTTCTCTAAGCTTTCATTTTGTAATCCATGTTCTGCAACTCACCCCGTGAGTATCAGACTAAAAAAGGAAAAATAGGGACCAGCAGTTGGCGTAATGGCTATGTCACTAGACTTCCATGTAGTCAACGGCCATTCAAGTCCCAAGTCCCGGACCCAGTGGCTTAAACTCACACTGGGAGCATGTGCGTGCATGCCCAAAATCCAAAGAGGAGAAAGGAGAAGAAGGGATTGCGGTGTGGCCATCCCCCTTGGGGGATGATTTCTCACTTTCTTTCTGTCTCTGTCTCATGTCTTCTGGCATGAGGAAAGGGCTGAGAAAGACCTTGTATCCATTTCGCATTGAGTTGCAAATTCTCTTTCTTTTTTCTTGTGGGCAGTATGTAGGTGGGAGTGCCTTGAGTTGCAAATTGTATCAGTCAAAACAAACTGAATTATTACCTGCTTACACAATTGTACAAGGTGAGTGTTCCAAATTGGATAATTATGTTGATTGGTTCTCTCGATGTAGCGTTTCAGGAATCCAGGCTTCTACCATCTATGGCTCTTTCTTCCTCTAGGTTTTCAGAACTCCATTTCTGCAGAGAATGGAAAAGGGGAGCAGATTGCTAGACCCAGGAGTAGACACATTGTGTCTAGCCATATTCCACTGGCCAGAATTTAGTCACACTCTACACCTCACTGTAAGGGAGGCTGGAGACTAGAGTCTAGATGTACATCAGGAGGAAATGAAAATGGTTAGTGAACAACTAGTCATACTCTGCCATACATACTAATTCTCATTTGAAAAACATCAGAAGGGTTAGTCTCACATACTGGTAGTTAAAGGAGAGCTATGGCCGATTACAGGATTCTAATCCCAGGCCCAACAACTTGGAAAACACAAGGGGTGCATGTGCATGAGGGCCAAAATCCCAAAAGAATGGAGAAATGGAGAAGAGATTGTAGTGTGATTATGTCTCATTGCGGGGGATTCATGTTTTCTTTCCTTCTCTCTGTCTCTGCGTCTACCTTTTTCTTTCTAGCTAGTGCACACACTGGAAATTATATTTTTAAAAATTCAGGAGAACTGGGACCAGCAGTTAGCGTAATGGCTATGTCACTGGCCTCCCACGTAGTCGACCACGGTTCGAGTCCCAGACCCAGTGGCTTAAACTCACGCCGGGCGCATGTGCATGCATGTCCAAGATCCCGAGAGGAGAATGGAGGATAAGGGATTGCGGCATGGCCACCCCCCCTGGGGGGGGGATTTCTCGCTTTCTCTCCCTCTGTCTCTCTGTCTGGCGAGTGCAGGTGCCCTATAGCAAAACCCTCTCAAAAAAAAAAATTCAGAACTATCCAATTCACTATTATGTGCTAAAATAGTATAGTATTTGATATCATCCTACATAAATGGACACTTGAAATAAATGGGACTTGTAATTTTTAAAAATATATATTGTATTGGGGACCAGCAGTTGGCATAATGGCTATGTCGCTGGACTTCCATTTAGTCGACAGTGGTTCGAGTCCTGGACTCAGTGACTTAAACTCACGCTGGGTGCATGTGCGTGCATGCCCAAGATCCCGAGAGGAGAGTGGAGGAGAAGGGATTGTGGCATGGCCACCCCCCGGGGGAGGGATTTGACACTTTCTGTCTCTCTGTCTTTCTGTCTTTCTGGTGAGCGCACAGGCCCTACAGTAAAAACCTCTCTAAAAAATAAAAAAAAGAATTGTTTTATTTAACTTATTTATCTAATCATCCTTTTAATTTAAGGACAGAGTGAGAGAGAGGGAGAGAGAGAGAGAGAAACAGAGAGAAAGAGAGAGGAGAAGTGAGAAAGCAAGCCACCAGGTCTGGGACTCAAACCACTGTCAGCCATATGGGAGTCCAGCACCCCCAACCACCATACCACCTGTTGGCCCCAGAGACTTGTAATGTTTTTTATACTTATATTTAACTTATAACAGAGGCATCAGTATTTGAACCTTATTACAAAGTAGAAGCATTCAAAAAAGGGACAAGAAGTTCTTTGAAGAATGATCACAAGGTTTTAGGGGAGTGCCAAGTATGAGTAAATATCACAGTGAGTTACCCCAGCGCATTACAAACGTGTAGTATCTTGAAAAGAAGAAAAATTGCGGTAGTGCTGTCGAACACAATAGCTAGGAATTTTGAGAGGTCCCTGTAGGTTAGTAAGTTTTAGACACAGTAAATTGTGAAGGATTCCCTGCCTGTCACCTTCATGATTATTACTATTTTCTCAAATTACTGAAATACGGGTCAATATTGAAATACTATTTTACGAATTTCTTATATATTGTGTATGTTTTCACAGAGTTGACCTATAAATAAACCCTCCCAACCTACATAAAACAGTGGAATATATGGGAGCCTGCAGTTAGTGTAATGGCTATGTCGCTGGACTCCTACGTAGTCGACCGCGGTTCGTGTCCTGGACCCAGTGGCTTAGAACTCACGCTGGGCACGTGTGCGTGGGTGCCCAAGATCCCGAGAGGAGAATGGAGGAGAAGGGATTGCGGTGTGACCATCCCCCCTGGGGGGTGATTTCTCGCTTTCTATCTCTGTGTCTCTCTGTCTGGCGAGCGCATGCGCCCTATAACGAAAACCTCTCAAAAAAAAAAAGTGGAATATATTAAATAAAAAATATCAGGATACTTAACAAACTTAATTCTAACTTAAAATGTTCTTTCTAAAGGAAAAGCAAACAAATTTTGTATCTCCTTTTCTCTTAAGCATGTTAATCATATTTTTGGCAAAATGTTTGATAATTGTATATTTTCTTCTTCTTCTTTTTTTTTTTTTTTAGAGGTTTTTGCTATAGGGCATGTGTACTCACCAGAAAGACAGAGAGACAGAAAGCGAGAAATCACCCCCCAGGGAGATGGCCATGCCTCAAATCCCCTCTCCTCCATTCTCATCTCAGGATCTTGGGCACGCACACACACGCACCTGGCATGAGTTTAAGCCACCGGGTCCAGGACTTGAACCACGGTCGACTACATGTGAGTCCAGCGACATAGCCATTATGCTAACTGCTGGTCCCGATAATTATATATTTTCTAATAAAATGTTAATAGTTGTATATATTTCCAATAGTTTTGAAAACAAACATAATTCTTTTGAAAGCAACTAAGGAACATACTAATGATTTGATAGAGGAAGGAAAGAAGAGGAAGAAAGGAAGAGAGGAATACATAAATCTTACAGCTAAAAGTTCGACTTTATATCCAAGGAATGTCCTCATTAACCGAGTTGTTAAATAGGGTGTAGTTTATAATTTTGTTGATAGAGAAGTACTTTTAAGTGTAAGGTAAACTTTGGAGCTGCACTAAAAACATCAGCGCATATTACAATATATCAGAAGAATTCTTGGGGCCAACAGGTGACATGGTGGGGTTAAAGCACTGGACTCCCACATGATCAACTGCAGTTCGAGTCCCAGATCTGATGGCTTGCTTTCTCACTTTCTCTTTCTTTATCTATCTCTGGTGAGCTCATGTGCCCTGTAGAAAATTTGAAAATAATGATACATAAAATTAAATAAATAATTCATATTTTAAAAAAGAATGATCAGAATTCATCTAGCCAAATCTTGTCTATTATATATAATATCCTGATACTAGCAATATGAAAATATTTAGATAAAGTTAATTAATGATGAAAACAGTAATACAGTTCACGCATATTGCAGAATTTTATTCTCCTATTCACTAATGGCAGTACTATTTACTGGGCACTTATTTCTAATACTTAGTGTAACTTTGACTCAAACCACAATTCCTAATTTGCCAATCATACTTCTTGCCAGGGAGTTCCTTGAAGGCATCCATGCCTCTTCCACTTTTATATACTTGGCAAATAGGTTCTCTGTAAACGTTGATGGCACTAATACCCAATTGGAATAAGCAAATGATTTTAGATAACATTAGGAAGGCTATTAAAACAATAATAAATAATAGATCTCTGCCCACAGTTGGTCCAGTTTCAGACCTCTTGCTTCCAGGATAGGCTTTTAGGTTTATTTCTTGCCACTAGAGGGCAGAAAATGCTTTGCAAAGAGCAAACACAATTCCTCTGGTTGTGTTAGTTTTGACTCCCCAGGAATAAATACCTTTATCACATAAAAGCTGAAGTCACCTCGGTCTAAGATCTTTGAAAGAGCTATTTTTTTTTTTTCCCTCAAGCTTCTTCGCTTTATTGGGGACTTTGGATCCAGCTGATTTGTTTGGATTGTTATAATGTTTGCTACAGGAAACCTCTTGACACATTTCCATCAACATGCCTCCACTTAAAATACTTGATAAACACCAGCCCCGTGAAAATGCAGTAGCAGTATCCTTGTCTTTGTGAGGCATCTAAAAGTTATCCTGGCCGGTTCATGTGAGAGCACTCAGCTTCCAGAAGCTACAATGAAATCGTCACACTTCCTTAACCTGTCATGTAATCAGATTAGACCTCCTGCATCCACAGTTTTTGCAGAGAGCAATAGATGAGTCAAACTGTTGACTTACATATTTTTTTTTTCTTTTTGTATGTTCCCCTTTCAAAATCACAGTCCCTTCCAGTGTGAGCGGAGTAACAGTGAACAATTCTGGTCGCAGTGACTACCTCAGCGTCTCCTGGCTGCCAGCACCAGGAGATGTGGATAACTATGTGGTGTCGCTCTCTCACGACAGCAAGGTGGTTCAGTCCCTCGTCATTGCCAAGTCTGTCAGTGAGTGTGCTTTCAGCTCCCTCACCCCAGGCCGCCTCTACGACGTGACTATAACCACAAGGAGTGGCAAGTTCGAAAATCATTCCTTCAGCCAAGAGCGGACAGGTAAGGATGTATGAAAGTGTGGAGCTCCCTAAGAACCAGTTAGCCATTCAGCTCTGGGCATCAAAGAACTGTTTTTGTTATTGTTGTTGTTTTATTTTTTAAGTTTTATTTATTATTATTATTATTTTTTTAAATTTGCTATAGGGCACGTGCATTCACCAAAGAGAGAGAGGAAGTGAAATCAAACGCTAGGTCCGAGACTCAAACCATGGTTGGCCATATGGGAAACCAGCAACTTCACCACCATACTACCTGCTGGCCCCCAAAAACTGTTAAAACACCGTAATGATAAGATGGAAGGCAGATAAAATCATGAAATTGTTTTATAGTCTTCAGATTTTGACCCCCCAAAATTCTTATGGGTAGAAGTTACTGCCTTTAAAATAAGATTAACACAATTCTACATCTAGAATTCGTATTATATTTAAATCGTGTAATAATTATTTCATAATATTTGATTGTGAGGATCTGGCTTTACATATATTGACAAATTATCCCTTATTAACTACTTATTTAGGCAGTTGTTGTTATTTTCATTTTGTAGATCAGGAACCCAAAATTCTGGGAGGTTAAGTAACTTGCCCAATGTTTACCTTGTTAAACAGTAAGTTTCAGAGCCTGGTCGTAAGTCCAGTTCTAAATGACTCCCGAGCCTACCAAGCTCTCTGTCTCAAATATGTCTGTTGTCATCCTTTCTCACACAAGGTGAAATTGTGAATCTTTGTAGTTCTGGGAACAAAAGTCTCCGCAAAGGAAATGAATGTCAGCTCTTTGATGTGCTGGAAAGAACTGAATTTTGATAGCTGCCATTTCCCCAATGTACTTATTGTTTCTCAGATTAACATCTAATATTTCTGCTGGAAGTTGACATCAATATTTCTCAAGTCTTTCCTATCGAGATATGGGTAGAATTTTGCATTCTATGAGGGTCTTTGATGATTGACATCATTCCTATTACCTACACAGAGCCTGGGGCCTCGTAGGCACTCAATAAATATTTGTTAAATGAATAATCAGAAATCACTTAGATAGGGGTTTTCACTTGGTGGTCCATGGGAACTCAAGGAATGTAGCAACCTCTAACATTGTCCATGATGTCTTCAGGAAGAAGACTAGTATGTGCATGTGTTTGGGGAGAGAGTCCATGGCTTTTTTTTTTTTTAAGAATTATTTATTTATTTTTATTATTATTATTATTTTTAATTTGATCAGAGAGAGAGAAAAAAAGGGAAAGTGAGAAAGCAAGTCACCAGGTCCGGGACTCAAACCATAGTCCTCCATGTGGGAGTCCGGCACCTCAACTGCCACCTGCCAGCCCTGAAAGTGCATGGCTTTTATGATATTCTCAGTTTATGTGAGCCTCTAAAAGTTAAAAACCACTTACTTATATTGTGACAGAATAAAAGCACTGACAGGGTCCTTTGAATGATTTAATTGCATCTCCTCCTTGGGAGATAAGTAAAGACCCAGAAAGAAAGGGTGGCTTCTTCCAGGTTGGATGGCCAACCAGTGGCAGAGGTCAGTCTAGCCCCAGTGCTGTTTCCATTACAACATCTATCTATCTATCTATATACAGATCACCCCATACCCTCAGATAATGTAAAGTCTAATTATACCGATAATCACAACAAAGACTTTGATCTGAAAAGCAGACCTCCACCTACCAAGCAGTTGTATGCTAGTGTCTCATATGGGTCAATTTAGAGCCTGAAAATCACCAGAAATGAAACAACATGACCCACCTATGAACCCCTTGCTTCCTGTCAATGTTAAGTCATGCACATTTCCTATCTATTTGCGGTAATATCTCAAGGCCTTTGCTAAGACCGCTTCTTAAAAGCAAGGAAAATGATTCTTTATTCAAAGCATCCTCTTGACTCGTACCAGTTGGAACTTGGATTTGGTACATGACTAACCAAGACAAATTGTTGCCCTCAACAATCAGCTTAACTAGAGAGTCGTGTCTGAGTTGTTGTCTTACTGATTTGGGCTGATTATTTTAATATCCCTTTCCTTTTCTAGTGCTCTTGCTCTATGTTTTAAGTGAAAAAAAAATTTCTAATTCTGTATTGCATCACTTTACCGTGCAGCCAGGCAGGTCTCACAAATTACACACAGTTCCACCTGGAGAGCCCCTTATTGATTTAGCATGGTGTTCAGCCTCGTATTCCTTCCTGTAATGGTTGCTTGGCTTTCAGTAAATTGCCTGGCTTATTGACCTTTCTTAGCCCGTGCATACAATGTCACTTCAGAATTTCTTCTCCTTAACTCTGTGGTGACTAAAGTCTAGTGACACTGTAACTGGTTTCAAATAAATATTTTGAAGAAAGCCTACCTGTCCCTGCTTCATCTTTGTGGTAAGCTGTAATCAGCCAACACAATCTGACAAAGGATGCTCACATAATGTATATGAGAAACATTGTGAAAAATATAGCTTAGATGCCAAAATATGGAAATGTCTAGGTCATTTTGTGATTTGAGGGAACGTAGAAGAGATTTGGGTACTGGATTGGCCTATGGTCAGGGCAGAAATCTCTTAACATATACCCAATACAGGCAGAGACTGTATAGACCTGGGGCACATGCTAATATTGGGACAATTTAGTACCCCAGATCTGAGGCCCTGCCTTTTTCCTTTCTTTTCCTTTTTTATTACTTCTTTTAAAAGATTTTTGTCATAAGGTACAACCACTCACCAGAGAGAGACAGTGAGAAGGAAAGTGAGAAGTCGCTACTCCAGAGGATGGCCATGCCACAGTCTCTTCTCCTATACACCCCTCTTAGGATTTTGGGGATATACACACACATGCCTGGTGTGAATCTTAAGCTGCCAATCTGGGACTAGAACTGTAGTCAGCCATGTGGGTGTTCAGCACCTTAACCACTATACCACCTGCTGGCCCCAGCCCTGCCTTTTTCAATGCTCTTTCTCATTAACATTTATAATGACCAGTTATAGCCAAAGAGTAATGAATCTACAATCTACTTTTGAATTAAAATTCAGCTCCAGTTGAAAAACCATCCTTAATTTCACGCTGTAAAGACAGCATGAAATTTTATTATTATTTTACAGTGTTCCCAGTAGTATGTATTTACTTACATATTTATTTATTGGTTGAGGAGGAAACTACAGGTATACAGAATTGTTTATTTATGTTATTTATATGAACCTTAGGTTCATTCATTGAATTAATTCTTTCTTCAGAAAACCATCCATCAATTGCCACTCTTGTTTTTTAGGGATCTAGTTAGTCATTATTTTTAAGTTTATTCATTTATTTATTCCATGAGAGAGGAAGAGAGACAGAAAGATAGGCACTCCAACAGCATCTTCATGCCACAATCCACCCGTAGCCTGAGCCAGCCTGGATCACAGGCATGTGTGTGGATACAAGGCATTCCTGGAGACCTTGAGACATGCACCGGGATCCTTCTCATGTGGGTCCAGAGTCACAGAACTTTGCATAACCACCAACTGGCCCTTAGTAATTTTTAATAATTTTACATATACACTAGAAACTTCTGCCAAAAATAAAACCCATGACCTTGACAGTAATCATCAAATCCTGTGGTTCCCACCTCACTAATCATCCCAAGGAAACCAACGTCTTTGCTCCTATGTTCATCTCTCCCTTGCTTTTCATCTTGTGTAGTTTTACTGCATCTATATATAGTCCTAAGATTATAGGATTTTAAATTTTTTAGTCATTTTAACATTATAGAAAAGCTATTTTTAAGACAGAATGTAATTTTGGGGGAACTTAGATTTTTTCATTTATTGGGACCAGCAGTTAGCATAATGGCTATGCTGCTGGACTCCCATGTGGTTGGCTGCGGTTTGGGTCCCGGATCTGGTGGCTTAAACTCACGCTGGGCACGTGTGCATGCATGCCCAAGATCCCGAGAGGAGAATGGAGGAGAAGGGATTGCAGCATGGCCATCTTCCCACGGGGGTGATTTCTCACTTTCTGCCTTTCTGTCTCTCTCTCTCTTTCCGGTGAGCACATGTGCCCTGTAGCAAAAACCTCTCCAAATAAAGAGAAAAAAAAAAAGATTTTTCATTTATTATAAGATTCATCATCTATTTTGTGTTTTGAGTTAAGAAGAAGAAACTAATTATGACTATTATATAATATTTCACCAAGTCTATATACCAATTCATTTTCAATCTCTGTGGAGGAGCATCTTCTCCCATACTTGGTTTTATCAATTTTTAAATTTTGCCAGTCATGGGCCAGCAGGTGGCGTAGTGGTTAAGGTGCTGGACTCCCACATGGCCAAATGTGCTTCGAGTGGCAGACCTGATGGCTTAAAACTCACTCCAAGTCGGTGTGTATGTGTGTGCCCAGAACCCAAGAGGAGCATGGAGGAGAAGGGATGGTAGCATGGCCATCCCCACTGGGGGATGATTCCCACTTTCCCTCTCTCTGTCTCTTTGTGTCTCTAGTGAGTGCATGTGCCCTATAGCAAAATAATAATAATAATAATAATAATAATAATAATTTTTAAAAATCTCTCTTAAAAAATTTGCTGGTCACATGGATATAAAATGATATTTCACTGTGGTGTTGACTTTTATTTCTTTGACCACCAATGATGTGAAACATCTCTTTATATATTAATTAAGCACATATACCACTTATTCCATTTTCTTTTTGGATTATTTACACTCGTCTTGGAAATTTTTATAACATCTTGAGTCACTTAGGTACTCTAGATTTGTTAATATCATCACCATCATTCACATTAATCATCAGTTATCATGTTTAGTATTTCAAGTTATACAGGGCATTTTGTATAGGTAAACAACAGGTCTAGAATGAATTAATCAAGTTCTGTTAAAAAGATCCATTTGATCACTCCAAGTAGTTTAACAGTCTTTTCCCTCCAGAAATTTGTGACCTAGAATTCTAAGTGGGTTTTTTTTGTTTGTTTTTTTGGCTTTTTTTAAATGTACACAAGAAAAATCTATTCACTTTCTTTTATTCTCCCAGGCTGTCATCAATGATCAATTGTCACTAAATCTTTACCTGTTCTCTTCTCTCTCTTTCAGTCCCTGACAAGGTCCAGGGAGTCAGTGTCAGCAACTCAGCTAGGAGCGACTATTTGAAGGTATCCTGGGTACATGCCACTGGAGACTTTGATCACTATGAAGTCACCATTAAAAACAAAAACAACTTCATTCAAACTAAAAGCATTCCCAAGTCAGAAAATGAGTGTGTATTTGTTCAGCTAGTCCCTGGACGGCTGTACAGTGTCACTGTTAGCACAAAAAGTGGACCATACGAAGCCAGTGAACAAGGAAATGGAAGAACGAGTAAGTGTGACAATTGCAAAATCTGACAGTTGGTGGGACTTGGAAGTCACTGAGAAAATAATTGCTCTGAACCTTGCATTTTCTCTACTTACTGATTAGTAAATTACATGCCAGTAAGTCTCGCTTGGAGCTAACATCATTCAGCAAGCCATAGCCTATAATTACAGAATATTTATTGGCATATAAAAGCAAACATAGTGGGGGACAAGAAGGCCAAATGTCCCATTTTTTTCCCCTGTCCTCCTGCATTGGCATTAAAATTCCAGACTTCTTGTTTCGTCTTATGATTGAGAGCATAACTCATTTTATAATTATATTCTACCAACATTTAGCATATAAGATTTATGTTAGGGGAAAAATCACAATTTCAATAGTTGCTTCCAATTTTTCTTGTTTAATTATGCATGAAGTAGTTCAAGTGGTTTATTTGGGGAAGGGAGATGTTTGCCAGTTCCTTGAATGTGATTCATAAATTATCGTGTAGGCAAACTCTGTTGAGTCCCTTTCTCGACGTGACTTCTCATTTTTCGTTCTAGTCCCAGAGCCCGTTAAGGATCTAACACTGCAGAACAGAAGCACGGAGGATCTGCATGTGTCTTGGTCACGAGCTGACGGAGATGTCGACCAGTATGAAATTCAACTGCTCTTCAATGACATGAAAGTATTTCCTCCTTTTCACCTTGTAAATACTGCCACGGAGTATCGATTCACCTCCTTAACCCCAGGGCGCCAGTACAAAATCCTTGTCTTGACAATCAGTGGAGATGTACAGCAATCAGCCTTCATTGAAGGCTTAACGGGTAATTTGAAATGTTCTTGACCTCGAGTAGATATAAAGTGTATTTAAGATGTTGGGTGCTGAGGCATTTTAATTGAGGATTTGGAAAGGTAAAAGGGAGATGGTCAAAAGGGAAACGTTATCTTGGGAACAACAATGTTGTCTAAGAATGGATTAACAAAAATAAAGTACGTGGTGGTGGTGTAGGAGAGGCTTTAATAGCATTAAGTTGTTGTGACTATCTGGGGCTTATGAGGCAAAAAGATTAAGAATAAATAAACTGTCACTTGGATATCATTTCTTTGGAAAGGTATTAGGCACATTACTATAATGATTAACATGTGTTGACAGTTTACCATGAACGAGGCCCACAGCAAGCACTTTACCTCTATGTTTTGTTCAGTCTTCACAGTGCTGTGGGTTGTATAATCATCATTGCCATTTTTCTGATGAGCGAACTGAAGCTTGCAGAGAGTAAGCAACTACCGATAGTATCATGGCTAGCAAACGAGAAAAACAAGACTTGGACCAAGGCAATCTAACTAGCTCCTCGATACAGTCTTCATTTCTACTCACAGGCCTTGGTTTCTTTCTAAACTTTCCCCATCAACTTCAGTTTAGGCAGAAAAATGACAAATTAATGTTTTTCTTTTTAAAATTATTTTATTGAACTTTATTTACTTACTTATTTTAATTTGACCAGTGAAGGACAAAGAGAGAGTTCGAAAGTTAGAAAGTAAGGCACGAGGTCCAGGACTCAAACCACAGTTGACCATGTAGGAGTCCAGAGCCCTTTACCACCATGCCACCTGCCAGCTCCAACAAATTAATTTCTTTTCACATGCATTCTTTCAGGAGATGTCAAAACATAAGAAAAATGAAAACTTTGAAAATGTCCATAATTCATTCTCTAAGCGATGGCTTTTACATTTATTTTTTTCTTTTAGTTCCTAGTGCTGTCAAAAACATTCACGTATCTCCCAATGGGGCAACAGATAGTCTGAGAGTGAGCTGGACTCCTGGCGGGGGAGACGTTGATTCCTACACAGTGTCGGCATTCAGGCAGAACCAGAAAGTGGAGTCACAGACTGTTCTCAAGCACATCTCTGAGTACACGTTCCACAAACTGGAAGCTGGGGAGCAGTACCAGATCATTATTGCCTCAGTCAGCGGGTCCCTGAGCAACCTTGTAGATGCCCTCGGGAGGACAGGTGAGTGTCTACTTGGAGAAGGGCCAAATTGTAGAATTTCTAATGTGGTTCTCTGTAATGGGACAGTGAATGGGCTTAGCTAGTCACAGGTCAAAACATCTAAATTTGGGGCCAGCAGATGGCATCATGGTTATATCTCTGGATCCCCCATGTAGTCAACTACCGTCCAAGTCCTGGACCTGGTGGCTTAAAGTCACACAGGGCATGTGTGAGTACATGCCCAAGATCCAAGAAGACAATGGAGGAGAAGGGATTACAGTGTGGACTTCCCCCCTGAGGGGTGATTACTTGCTTTCTCTCTCTCTCTCTGCCTTTCTCTGTCTTTTCAGAGAGCACATGTGCCCTATAGCAAAAATCTCTCTTAAAAAAAAAACATCTAAATATAAATCATCTTAAGTTTGGGCCAACCCATGGACTAGTGGTTAAAAGAGCCAGATCTCACATAGCTGACCACGGTTCAACCACTAGCTCCAGTGGCTTGAAAAACATGCTGGGTGCTTGTGTGCATGCATGCCCAAAATCCCAACAGAATGGAGAGGTGAACTGAAGGGATTGCAGAATGACCATATTCCACTAAGGGATATTTTCTCCCTTCCCTTTCTGTCTCTCTGTCTTCTGCCTCTCTGCCTCTCTGTCTCTGGCAATTGTATGTGTCCTCTGACAATTAAAAAAAAAAAAAGGCCTAAGTGTGTACAGTTAGATGTAGTTTTGAGAACTTTCTTATCTTTTTTGTATTTTTCTTTCTTAACAGAGATTTTTGGTTTTAGAATTATTTTATTTAACTTTATTTATTTATTTATTTATTATTATTATTTTCCAATTTGATCAGAGAGAGGCAGAGAAAGAGAGAGATGAAAAGTGAGAAAGCAAGCCACTAGGTCCAGGACTTGAACCATGGCTGGCCATGTGGGAGTCCAGCGCCTTTAACCATCATGCCACCTGCTGACCCCACCTTAACAGATATTTTTCATTCAAGTGAAAGATAATTAAAAGCCAAGTCATTTGAATACATTTTTTTCTTTTTTTTTTTTATTAGAAAGACTTGTGCTATAGGGTGCGTGTGCTCACTGGAGAGACAGAGAGACAGAAAGTGAGAAATCACCCCCCTCCTGGGGGGGCGGGAGGATGGCCATGCCACAATCCCTTCTCCTCCATTCTCTTCTTGGCATCTTGGGCATGCACGCACATGTGCCCAGCGTGAGTTTTAAGTCACCAGGTCCAGAATGTAAACCGCGATTGAGTATGTGGGAGTCCAGCAATGTAGCCATTATCCCATCTGCTGATCCCTGAGTACATGTTTATATGTGCTAAAGGGTATGAAAATTTTAATTTTAACAGACTACTATGTGTATTCCAAAAAGTCATCCTTTTTTCAAAATTCTTTAAGAAACATGCATACCTGTATCATCTACTTTACCTGTAAAAGCTGAAGAATAATAAATGAATAATCTGTTTATTTATATTAATGTCACCATTAACCCATTATTTTTAAAACTAAATAAGCTAAAGGCACTTGTAAGCTCCCAGGCATTAAAATTACCTCTAGGGAACCAGCAGTTAGAGTAAGGGCTATGTCGCTGGACTCTCATGTAGTCGACTGCGGTTCGCGTCCCGGACCCGGTGGCTTAAAACTCACACCGGGCGTGTGTGCGTGCGTGCTCAAGATCCCGAAAAGAGAATGGAGGAGAAGGGATTGTGGAGTAACCATTCCCCCTGGGGGGTGATTTCTCGCTTTCTGTCTCTCTGTCTCTGTCTGTCTGGCGAGCGCACGCACCCTATAGCGAAAACCTCTCCAAAAATAACTAACTAACTAACTAAATAAATAAATAAATAAAATTACCTCTAGTTATACCACAAGGAACAGATCATTATCTCCACTTTGCAGATGAGGAGAGTAAGGCTCAGAAAATGTATGAAATCTTTAGTTCTAGGTACACTGAATAAAATGTGGAGCTATCATTCAAACCTAGGTCCATCTGGCTTCAAACCTCATGTCCTCTTGTACTGGGATAGAAGGCTTCTTATCTGTTCCCATGCCTATGATCATTTATTTAGTTGTGGTGCCTGGGCTTCTTGTCCATGCCCCACTATGTCTCTATTTATCTCTCTATCATCTATATTATATCTGTGTCTATCTCTAACCATATGTCAAGCACTGTGTTAGAAAATGGGAATTTAGTAGCAAGACAGAGTCGAATCTCTCACCTCAAGAACCTTATAATGTAGTGAAGGAGACAGAGAAGTAAAAGGTTCCCATACTACAGCATGGTAAGTGCTAAAACAAAAATAATCATAGACTGTTATAATAGCAAACAAGAAAGTTGGAGAAAGCCTCCAGGAAAAAATAATACTTAAAGAGACCAAGAAATATTTCCTCTTCTTTACTCCATAAGGGCACCTAGAAAGCATCAGTTCAACACAAGTAAAGCAGAGGCAGAGTCTCTGACCAGTGGATGATTTAGGAAAGTGTTTCTGTTACTTACCCTAAGTGATGAAACTTGAATTTTCTTGCTTCCCTTGTTTCTTTGCAGTTCCTGCATCTGTCCAGGGAATAACTGCAGACAATGCATACAGCAGTCATTCCTTAATAGTAAGTTGGCAAAAAGCCATTGGTGTGGCAGAAAGATATGATATCCTGCTACTAAATGAAAATGGGATTCTTCTGAGCAACATATCAGAGCCAGCTGCTGCCAAGCAGCACAAATTTGAAGATCTAACACCGGGCAAGAAATACAAGATACAGATCCTAACTGTCAGTGGAGGCCTCTTTAGCAAGGAAGCCCAAACTGAAGGCCGAACAGGTAATTAGCACTGTTTATTGTTTGTACCAGAGATCTCCTTGTCTATTACTGTAAAAGAGCTATAGGGAGAGACGTGAAGCAACATTGGGAGGTGAAATGTGTTTCTTAACACAGCAGGAGCAAGAGCCTTGATTTACCACTTCCACGTGAGTTGGCTTGTCCACTCTGGCTTCATCCCACCACACTCAAATTCAGATTTCCCCATTAACACTGACACTATTAGTTTCTATCACTGCTATAATCAATGATCTCAAACTTAATGGCTTAAAACCACACAATTTAATCTAGTTAAAAACCTTATCATTTTTAAGGTTAAAATCTGAAAATGGGTCTCACACTCATAAAACCAAGATGTCAGGTGTCAGCCGGGCTGTGTTCCTTGTAGAGACCTCGTGAGAAAATTCATTACTTGCCTTTTTTTGGCTTCTAGAGGCCACCTGCATTCCTTGCTCATGGCCCCTTCTAGCAGTGGCATCATTCAAAGTTCTGCATCTGTCATCACATCTCCTTCTTTACTCTCTTACCTCCCTCTTCCATCTTTGAAGGACTCTTGCAATTCCATCGGTCACCACCTGGACAATCCAGGATACTCTTCCCATCTCAAGATCTCCAGCTTAATCATATCTACAAAGTCCCTTTGGCTACCTAAGGTAACATATTCACAGGTTCTGGGGATTAGGACATAAACATTTTTGGAAGTCCATTATTCTGATACCCATATTGGTCCAATTTATTACTTACTTATTAAGTACCTAGGTCTGAAGGGGGTGGGTTGTATTGTGACATGAAGATGAATCAGGGACCAGCAGTTAGCATAATGGCTATGTTGCTGGACTCCCACGTAGTCAACCGCAGTTTGAGTCCCGGATACGGTGGCTTAAACTCATGCCAGGCACGTGTTCAGGCATGCCCAAGATCCCGAGAGGAGAATGGAGAAGGGATTGTGGCATGGCCATCCCCTCTGGGGGGTGATTTCTTGCTTTCTGTCTCTCTGTCTCTCTCTGTCTTTCTGGCGAGCGCATGTGCCCTATAGCAAAAACCTCTCCAAAAAAACAAAAACAAACAAACAAAAAAAGTTGAATCAGGCATGCTTCTTGTCCCCAAAGAACTGACTGACTAGGGGAAGACACATAAATGAACAAGTAATGCCAATACGTTGTGACAAAGATTGTGTATTAGAGAGGAATGCCCAACACTAAGGGAAGCACAGAGGTCAAATTGAGAAATCTTCCCAAAACTGACATTTTAATACTATCATGAAAAGTGAAGCAATTATCCATGTGGGAAGAAGGCAGAAAAACAGCTCAGGAAGACAGACTATCCTGTGAAAAGACCAGGAGATGAGAGATGGAATAACGAGGACTCATGGGTGGGTAAGGAATGTGTTGCATGATGGAAAAATGAAGCTGAAAGGTCAGGTGAGGCCAAATTAGAGGGTTCCAGGTATGCCTTCCTCAAGAGTTTTTGTTTGTTTGTTTGTTTTCTCTCATAAACAGTAAGGAGATAGTAAAATAATTTGTTAGAGAGTGATTATTTTAAATAAAAATCTACACCTTAAAGATAAATTGAACAGGGGCCAGCAGGTAGTATAGTGGCTAAGGCTTTGGACTCCTACATGACTGACAGTGGTTCAAGCCCCAGACCCAGCAGCTTGAAAACTGTGCCAGGCGCATGTTCATGCATGCCCAAATTCCTAAGAGAATGGAGGAGAAGGGATTGTGGCATGGCCATCCTTCCAGGGGCTAATTTCTCACTTTCCCTCTCTGTCTCTCTCTATCTCTGGTAAGAACACCACCCTATGGCAAAGACCTTAAAAAAAGAAAAAAGATAAATCAAGCACTGCCCAAATAGTGTATGTTTCTCAAACACTATGCTCTGTAGTCTGGGACAGTGTGGGATGCCTGGGTTCACCTCTAGTCTAACCTAAAGGCCTAAAGCTAAAACATAAATCAAATGGCAATAGGGAATGGATTGAATGGAGAAGAGGCCAGAGATGAGGAGGCCTGTTCATTATTGAGTACCTACCACGTGCTGGGCTCTCCTCTAAATGCTGGATATACAGTGTGAATAAAATAAGCTCCCCTAGTTATGAAGTATATATTCTGGTAGGGGATAAAGGCAATAGACAAAATAAGTAAAACACTTAGGAGATTAGATGGTAAAAAAAAAAAAAAAAAAAAAAAAAAAAAAAGCCAAGGAGAAAAGTAAGAAAGTGAAAGAACAAGTGTTGAAGGCTTGCGATTTTAAATAGTGCAGTCCTCCAAAGATTTTATTGAGTATGTGACATTTGCATAAAACTCTAAAAGAAGTGAGAAAGAGAGTCATGCAAAATGTGGGTAAGCATATCCCCAAGCAGAGCCAATGATGAGGCAAAGATCTTCTGTGGGTATATGTCTGGCTTGTTGGAAGGATGGGCAAGAGTCCTGTGTGGCTGGAGCAGAGCGAGCAGGAACAAGAGTGGAGGGATGCAGTCAGAGAGGTAATGGGGTCATGAGACAACTATGTTGTAGGATGATAAGGGTCAAAACTAAATGAGGGGACCAGCAGATGGTGTAACATTTATGTTGCTGGACTCCCACGTAGTTGACCACTGTTCAAGTCCCGGATCTGATGGCTTTAAATTCATGCCGAGCACATATGCATGCATGCCCAAAATCCCTAGAGGAGAATGTAGGAGAAGGAATTGCAGCATGGCCATCCTTCCTGGAGGGTGATTTCTTGCTGTGTGTCTGTCTGTTCCTCTCTCTGTCTCTCTGGCAAGCGCATGTGCCCTATAGCAAAAATCTTTCTCTCAAAAAAAAAAAAAGAAAAAACTAAGTAAGGCCAACTCTGTGGCCTTGTGGTTAAGGCATCAAGATCTCACATGGCCAACCATGCAGTTTGAGTCTTAGACCCAGTGGTTTGAGAAACATGCTGGGCATGTGTTTGTACATGCCTGAACTCTTGAAAAGAGGAGGAGACAGAGAAGGGATTGCAGCATGACCATTTCCCATGGGGGGTGTTTCTCCTCTCCTTTCTCTATCTGTATGTCTCTGGCAAGTGTATGTCCCCTCAACAATAACAGCTACAACAAACTAAATGAATGCAGGAGCCCTGATGAAAAATAATGGATATAGTTGAGAAATATTTCTCCATTACATAAGGTGGAGTCTGGTGGCTGAGTAGATTAGAGGAGGAATACAAAAATATTCCAGAGTTTCTACCTTGTATGTCTGGTAGAAAGTACTTATCATTATTTGAGATAAGAAAAGCAGAAGAGGGTGGGGCAAGAAGGAATCTACAGAGTTCAGTTTTATATTGAGTTTGAGATGTCTGAATGACTTGCAGAAAGAGGGGACCAAATTAGAAATGTGCCTCTGAACTCCAAAGAGAAACTGGACATAAAGATTTGGACCTAAATGTTACTAAATCTATAAAGAAAATGGGATTGAATGTTCAGCTAATATTAACTAATGTGAAGGGGACAAAGGATGGAACCACAGGACATGTCAGCTTTTAAGGTCCTAGCATAAGAAGAAGAGAAAGCAAGGGGGACTAGCACTTAGCATAATGGCTATGTCACTGGACTCCCACATAGTCGACCGCGGTTCGAGTACCAGACCTGGTGGCTTAAACGCACACTGGGCGTGTGTGCGTGCGTGCCTAAGATCCCAAGAGGAGAATGGAGGATAAGGGATTGTGGCGTGGCCATCCCCCCTGTCTCTCTCTCTCTGTCTGTCTGGCGAGTGCACGCACTCTATAGCAAAAACCTCTCCAAAAAAAAAAAAAAAGAAAGCAAAAAGAGCCTGACAAAGAATGTTTGGGATTGAGGGAGAAGACTCCAGGCGGAAACAAAACCGATGTCTGTTCTGTTCCCACTGGCACCTTAAGACTTTGGAGGAATTGGACAGCATTTGAGCCAGTGCTTTGGAAGCAGGCTATTTCTAGTGGCACTTGGCTACCTTGCCATCAGGGAGCACTGAGAGCGGCAAGATCCTGGGACCTGATGATGGTGTGGTAGCGAGCACTATGCCATGGGAGGCTGCCCCACCTGAGAAGGTTCGTGGTTCATCTGAAGACCTCCCTGGGTGTTCTGGGCAGGCGTGTGCCCAGGATCCGAGGCTGGTCAACATTGTGGGTGGATTGTGGTGTCAGGACCCTGTCAAGAGTGTTTTCTCGCTCTTGCTTTCTCTCTGCCTCTTTCACTCATGGAAGAAATAGATAAACTTTAAAATAAAAAGATTAGTGGTTGCAAAATTCTAATATAAATTTTTTTAATTGTTTTGGTTTTTCCTACTGCCTCTCTCCCATATCTCTAAATCCAATTTCTTCTTCCTGTTCATTTTCCCCTTCTTTCCCACCCCGTCTCTCCTTCCCACTGTCTTTCCTTCTAAAGGCCTTTCTTAGGTCCCAACTGGCACCCAGAGATACCTTTTGATCTCTGAACTAGATTTTAGTATTAGAAAAACACTTAGTCACAGAGAGCATATTAACACTTATCCTATACCCAAAACATAGCATGTCCGTGAAGATAATTTTCCATTACTGTTTTGTTGTTGTTGTTGTTCTCCTGTGGTTTTGTTGTTTTCTTTTTTAATTAATAGCATCAGCATGAGTAATTCACAACCTTCAGGTTTCTTTGCTTTGGGGTCTCCATGAAATTGGCATTTTTTCAAGTCAGGGATCAGGGGTTTTGAGTTGCTACCTGAGCGCATCCATCCAGCTATTAGTCCGGGACTGTGTCATGGATTTGCCAAAATTCAGTCTCTTTCTCTTGCTCCCTGGCTTGTCAAGTCCCAGCAGCTGTCACCAATCTGAGGATCACGGAGAACTCCACCAGACACTTGGCCTTCAGCTGGGCCGCATCAGAAGGGGAGCTCAACTGGTACAATATCTTTCTGTACAACCCGGATCGAACTCTTCAGGATAGAGCTCAAGTTAACCCACAGGTCCAGAGCTTCTCTTTCCAGAACTTGCTGCAAGGCCGAATGTACAAAATAGTGATTGTAACTCACAGTGGGGAGCTGTCCAATGAGTCTTTCTTGTTCGGAAGAACAGGTAAGAATTGCACCCAGACAGCCGATAGAGCAAGGAAAGTGTCACAGGATCCACTGACTTTTTCTGGATTTGCCCTCATTTTTCTATTCTAGCCAGGATATAGTTTATATGAAATCTGTGACCTTCAGGACTTTTTACCCTAAATCAGATCTTGGATTTTATATAACAGTAGATAATAATTTGTGGCCAGTTTTTGCACTGGCTTATGCTCTATGTCTTTACCTCATAGAGTTTGGTGGAAATGAATCTGGCTCCTCTGCTTGCCGGCAAACTGTAACTACGCCTTCTGGCTTTTTACAAGACACAGATGTAGTGGAAGGCAGGTCTGGGGGGCAACAAAGTGGACAAACAAGCAGTGATTTCTGTGAGTTGCAAACAGCACCAGATGAGATTTAAATAAGGAGGTCCAAAACATGAGAGGAAAACACCTCTTTGGGCTGCAAATGAACAATGAGATCTACTCTTTTTCCATATTTTGGGTTTTTAAAAATTATTTTATTTAACTTTATTTGTTTATTTTAATTTGACCAGAGAGGGACAGAGAGAGGGGGAGAGAGATGGAAAGTGCGAAAGCAAACCGCTAGGCCCAGGACTCGAACCATGGTAAGCCATGTGGGAGTCCAGTGCCCTTAACCACCATGCCATCTGCCAGCCCCCAATATTATGGGTTCTTTATCTCCCATTCAATTTGTTTCTCATTTGACAATAGGTTTTAAGTGCTCTATGTCAGTGCATGGCTCACTGCTGGAATGACAGTGAACAAGACAGACAAGGCCCTTTACCCTATAGAGCTTTACATTAGGGGAGAGGGAAGAAGCTGGGCCAGCAGAGCATAAAAGGAGTTGATTTGGAGATGCCTTAAATCCTGTGAGAGAAGTGAACAGTGTATCATGACAGTAACTTGTCAAAACAAGAAACTACTTTAGGTAGAAAAGGCATTTCAACTGAGACCTGAAGGTGAGGGGAGCCAGATGAATATATTCCAAGGGCATTCAGCAGTTTGTCTATTATGAAAAAGATCCCACAGAATCACCTAGATGTTGGCATTTCCAGGGCAACCTTGCCTTCTGCTCCCAGTGTCTTTCCTGTTCATTCACGACTAAAGTTCCTCCCCCTAGTGGGCAAAGGTCCTCAATCTCCAAAGAATAAGAAAGCTTAACCACCACTGGACAAGAGGCAGTATGGTTAATTTATACTATGGTAGGAGGGACTGCTAATACTCCTTCTCCTAAGTGCCAATGCAGATTTTGCTAAGAAAAAGCATGAGAGAATTAAGAACCTACATGAGGGTAGAAAGGAAGTAAACAGACCCAGAGAGGGCGTTTATGGGCTAGTGGCTGTTAATAAGATGGGCCAGATGGGAGGAGCTAGCATGAACATCTTCAGGGCTTTTAAAATCGAGGTTATAAACTTTTGCCTAGTATTAACTAATCATTTATGAGGATTTCATTTTACATGTTTATCATGGTACATGTGGCAAGCATAGATGTTTTGTTTTGTTAAGATGGACGCCACAGTTCTAAACCACGTATTCCAAATTCTGCTTTACCTGAAACGTAGGCAGGATCTGACTCCACAATATGTACTACTTGTCCATGTGTGTGACACAGTTTGTATTCTCACCTGTGGGCCAAAATGTCTTTCTTTCTGTTTTGTTCTCAGTAAGAATTTTTCTTCTGTTTAAGTCCCAGCCTCTGTGAGTCACCTCAAGGGATCCAATCGGAACATGACAGACAGTCTTTGGTTCAGCTGGAGTCCAGCCTCTGGGGACTTTGACTTTTATGAGCTAATCCTCTACAATTCCAATGGTACAAAGAAGGAAAACTGGAAAGATAAGGACCTGACAGAGTGGCGCTTCCATGGCCTCATCCCTGGAAGGAAGTACACGCTATGTGTGGTAACTCACAGTGGAGATCTCACCAATCAGGTCACAGGGGAGAGCAGAACAGGTAAGAAGCCCACTTGCCAATGGCCAGGTGTTGGTGGGAAGTAGCTTCCAAAAATACTTTTTTTTTTGTAGGCTTTTTCATAGGGCACATGCACTCACCAGAGAGAGACAGAGACAAAACAAAGGAAGTATGAAATCACCACCACCACATGCCCCTCCCTCAGGGGAAATGGCCACACCACAGTCCCTTCTCTTTCATTCTTCTCTTGGGATTTTGGGCACACATGTACATGCATCTGGCATGATTTTCAAACCACCGGGTCCAAGACTCTAACCATAGTCAACCATGTGGGAGTCCAGCTCCTCAACCACCATGCTACCTGCTGGCCCTCCAAAATACATTCAAATTGTGTTTTTAAAGACAAGAATTAAAGTCAGTAATGATGTGCCATGTGCTAGTCCTTGAACTGGGGAAAACACTGTATAAAGTACAGAGTAGAAAGGGCACAGACTTTGGTCAAAACATGTAGGCTCTTACTAGGCTCTGCCACTTACTTGTATGAAGCTGGGAAGACTACTGAACACTTCCTTTTTTGTAAAATATATTTCTCCAGAGGGCACATGCACTTTCCAGAAACAGAAAGAGAGGGTGGTGCATGATCACATCGTAATCCTTCTTCCTCCAGTTCTCCATCTCATCAGGATTCTGGGCATTCATGCACACAAATATTTTTCAAGCCACCAGGGCCATGATTTGGATCACAGTCAGCCATGTGGATCTAGTTCCCTATGGAGAGCACTTAACCACCATGCTACAGGGCTGGACCACACTGAGCGTCTCTAAGTTTTGGTGTTCCTATGTGCAGTGTGGATAATCATGTCCACCATCATTGTGTCGCTATGACCAGTGCTTCCTGGATGTTTGGCACACATAGAAAACATGAACATCTGTATGCCACCTGGGGTCTGTCCAAAAGGCTGCCCACAATAAGACATAATTGTCCCATCCCCAAATCTGATGGAATCAGTATCTTCATATACTTTTAACCCATTGAGGACATACTTTTGCTTCACCAAACACCCTGATAAGGAAAATCTGCTTATTAATATTAAAGAAAAGGTACAGAAAATACTTGAGGACAATGCCTTACACTGTCCTCAAAGGTAAGCCCTATAAATGAAAGTTCCTACTATGATTTCATCATATTATCTTCCTACAAAGTAGGTTAAAAATATGTTTGATGTTGGCCAGCCTCATAGCCTAGTGGTTAAGGGAGCTGGATACTACATATCCAACCTCCATTCAAACTCAAGGAGAAGGAATTGAAGCGTGGCTGTGCCCCATGGTGGGAGAGGAGCTGCCTTCTTCTTCTTCCTGTTTGGCTGTTTCTTTCTGGAAAACACACGCATCCTCTGGCATTTGTTTTTAAATCAGAAAGAAAGTATATCTGATGTTGTCTGGCTATCTTACTTGTACATGTTATGGTGTGGGTGTAATTATGTGATTTTATACTTTCTCCTACATACAGCCCCAAGTCCTCCCAGTCATTTGTCATTCGCTGATGTTGCAAACACATCCTTGGCCATCACCTGGAAGGGGCCCCCGGACTGGACAGACTACAATGATTTTGAAGTGCAGTGGTTCCCCAGAGACGCACTCACTGTCTTCAACCCCTACAGCAACAGAAAATCAGAAGGACGCATTGTGTATGGCCTTCGTCCAGGGAGATCCTACCAATTCAGTGTCAAGACTGTCAGTGGCGAGTCCTGGAAAACCTACAGCAAACCAATTTTCGGATCTGTGAGGACAAGTATGACATGTTTTGCTACTCTTGGTGCTCAGATGGAGTGGGAAGAAGTGTATATCCAACATCTTATTCCAATGGGACTTGGTTTAAATCCACATTTTTACTTGCAATTAGTTGTATTTGGATTCAGGCAGAATTCTATATAGATGTGTCCATTCGTTCAGTATTAACAACAATAGACAATAAAGAAATAATCTGCCCTCCCTCACACTGAGAGAGAATAGGCAAGAAGTACGATCATTAACATACAATTAAAATACATAGTAAAGGCACATGATCCAATACAAGGTGAGCTTCGGGAAAGAAGAAACATCCAAATTGAGACCTAAGGATGGATTCACAAGGTAGAGATGAGGAAGTAAATGGGGAATATTCCAGGTAGAAAGAATAAAATGTTCGAAGACCAGGAAGAAGAAAAAGAGATCAACTAACTGAGGAACAGAGAGAAGTTTAGCTGGCCAGAGCATGGAAGATGAGAATTAAGAGAATCAGATCACAAAATGTCTTGTGTGCCATGGTAACAACTTTGGACTTTATTCTGAACTAATTGGAGCCACTCAATTTCAGCAGAGATATTATAATCTCATTTACCCTTTAGATAGTTGCCCTGGGTACAGTGTAGCAACTAGGTTGAAAAGATCAAAACTAGAAGCAGAGGGATCCATTAGAACATGTTGCTATACATTCTAAATATAAAAATATCTCAACAATAAAATATATACCAGTTTCTTTCCCCAAGGCATTTTGGGATTGGTGCACCAAACCTCACAGAAATTAAAGTTTTCATTGTAGGAACATTGATTTTTCAGGAATACCAAATATATATATATATATATATATATATATATATATATATAGCTTCCAAGATCAGATCAGATAGGTACTAGTAATTGATAAAATATGTAGTTGAAAACTGGAAATTTAAGCAAGTATTTTTTTTTGTTTATTCAGTAAACAATAATGTTGCAACAGGCATAATTCGTGCTCCATGTTCTATCCAAAGAACAGTCTGGGATCTCGTAGTTGTGCGTCAACAGAAACATGCAAAAAAGAACAAAGAACTTTAGTTTATGGCAAGTTCGGGATGAGTTTTCAGTGGCTTATTGTAGGCTCTGTTAACCTAATCTGTTAAGCAGACCACTGTGCTCCAGCTATCCAACCCAGAGCAGGACTCTAGACAGTTTTGCCCATTGCACCTTGGTATTCGAATTGCCAGAGGAAAAAAGACAGTCAAGCACTGGATGAAATAAAGGCTGACAGGGCCAGCAGGTAGTGTGATGCTTAAGGTGCTGGACTCCCACATAGCCGACCACGGTTCAAGTCCTGGACCTAATAGTTTGCTTTCTCACTCTCCCTCTTTCTCCTCTATCTTTCTCTGGTCAAATTAAAGAATGATAATAATAAATAAAATTAAATAATTCTTTAAAAAAATAGAAAAGAAAGCCTTACTTAAGTACAAAAGAGGCAGAGCAATGTCAGCCTCAATAGCATGCACTGGTCCCCCATAGACACTGGATCTCTCCCAGCAGCCAAGGGGTGTCAGCTGGCTACATGCACCCCTCTCAGGCTGCAATAGAAGGACCCTGTACCCTGTCCTCAGAGGGAAGATAGATTGGTGTTGGCCAAGTGCCATATGATCCACACATTTTAGCAGAACACAAAAGTATATGTTAAGCTTGCAGCAGAGAAAGATGTTTTTATATAAGATGATGAGCCTGGCACAGGCCATAAGAGCTATTGATCTCTGGTATGTGTTCCAGGTCCAAGATCCATTCATATGTGGCCAAGTGGGGATGAAAGTACTGCTCACATAAAACTGCCTTTTCCGGGGCCAGCAGGTGGCATGGTGGTTGAGGGCACTGGAGTCTCACATGGCTGACTGCGGTTTGAGTCCCTGACCTGGTGGCTTGCTTTCTCACTTTCCCTTTCTCTGTCACTCTGTCCCTGTCTGGTCAAATTTAAAATAAATAAATAAATAAATAAATAAAAGTTAAATAAAATAATTTAGGGACCAGTAGATGGCATAATGGTTACGTTGCTGGACTCCCATGTAGTCTACTGTGGTTCGAGTCCTGGACCCAGCAGCTTAAAACTCATGCCAGGCACATGTGCGTGCATGCCCAAAATCGCAGGAGGAGAATGGAGGAGGGATTATGAGTGGCCATCCTTTCTGGGGGCAGAGGGGTAATTTCTCACTTTTGGTCTCTCTGTTTCTCTCTGTCTCTCCGGTGAGATCACACGCCCTATAGCAAAAATCTCTAAAAAACAAAACAAAACAAAAACCCTGCCTTTCCCAACAGTATCACAGATGCTCAGGTTAAGAACTCATACAACTCCACTAGAAGCTAGCCTTGTAGATAGTCTGGAATTATATATTCAGTCCTGGATGTTATACTTTAAGAGATCCTTTACCAAAGAGACATGCCCAAGAGAAGATCAATCAGCTTGAAAAGGGACTCAATGCTGTGTCTTGTAAGAAATGACTAATGAAACTTGTTTTGTTTTAAGGACTGTATTAGTGAGGTTTGGGCTTGGGTGTATATAATAGAATAGAAAACCCCAAATAACAGGCTTAAATGAAGTAAGTTTGTAAGTCTCAGAGGAAATTATTTCAGCACTCAATTTCTTATATGCCCCAACCACGGTGAAAATTTTGCAGTTGCATTTACATGCCATCTACTCTTCCAGCCCCATTTTCAGTGCCTATGTTAACAGTTTCTCTACCCAGTATCTTAGCTAGGTGTCAACTCTGCCATAAACCCTTTGCTATCTTCTGCAGATCATTAATGTTTGCAGATGAAAATCATGTCATCTTTTTTTTCCCAATCTATTATCTGTTCTACCTTGTATTAAGGCTATTTTGGATTCAACTTCTTTCTTTTTTAGAGAGAGATTTTTGCTATAGGGTGTGTGCACTCACCAGAGAGACAGCAAGAAATCAACCACCCAGAGGGGATGGCCATTCCACAATCCTTTCTTCTCCATTCTCCTCTTGCAATTTTGAGCATGCGTGTACACACACCCAGTGTGAGATTTAAGCTGCTGGATTCAGGACTCGAACCATGGTCGACTATGTGGGAGTCCAATGACATAACCATTATTCCATCTGCTGGTTCCTGGATTCACCTTCTTTCCTGGAGGTTAGGCCTAATGCCTTAGTCATCTCTATATTATTTTCAATTTCTAGAAGAACGTTTTGCACATAGTAGATACTGTTTTTTCTCAACACTTTGAATATTTCTATTCACTCTCTTGCTTTCTGGATTTCTGAGAAGGCAGATGTAATTCCTATCTTTGCTCCTCTGTAGATAAGGTTGCTTGTTTGTTTGTTTTTACCCCATCCCCACCCCTGCCAGCCCCATCTTTCATGAGTTTTTCTTTATCTTTGGTTTTCTACAGTGCGGAAGTAATATGCCTAAGTGCAGTGGTTTTTGTTTTGTTTGTTTGTTTGTTTGTTTGTTTTTAACATTTATTCTACTTACATTAATTTGTGGACCTCTCTGTCATTATTGCTTCACAAATTTCTTTAGTTGCCTTCTCTCTTATAGTATTTCCATTATGTGTATGTTGTACCTTTTGTAGTTGCTTCATAGTCTTGGAGAGTCTGTTTCTTTCCCCTCCCTCCCCCCCCCCCAGTTTTTATTCTCTTTGCTTTTCAGTTTTAGAGGAGTTCTATTTATAAAATGTCAAGCTCAGAGATTCTTTCCTGAGCTGTGTCTAATCTACTAAGCCTACCAAAAAGGAGTCTTCATGTTAGATACAGTACTTTTTGGGGGGGGGGGGGGCTCATGCTCTTGCTATAAAGACAGAGAGACAGAAAGTGAGAAATCACCCCCCAGGGGAGATGGCCACTACAGAGTGGTCTGAAGTGCTTCAAAGTGTTTCTTTTCCTCCCCCTCCTCCTACAAAAAGCATACAGAAATTTTTATTTTCTGTGAGAGCCTGCTTGTTTCCAGAGCTAAAACTCACAACACTATGGGAGCCCTGGTGATTGGGTCCTCATGGAGATTCTAGCTCTCAGACTTGTCCACACTAAGCCCACAGCAATTCTTCCATTGCAAGTTAAGTGTTTCTACCCCAGCACCAGTTCCCATGGAGGTTTTCACTCCCCCATCTGTTCCAGTAAACTCTAACTCCTTCTATTCATCTGTCTGTCTTTTCTGTCTTGTGGACAGCAGTTTGCCTGTGTCCTCACCTCTCTTATGGATCCAAGAAAAGTTATTGGTTTCTTGGTTCAATTTTTCATTTGTTAGGTTAAATAGTACTCAATTCTCAGTGAATGGGGATATGAGTTGAGTCTTGGAAGACAAGTGGGATTTAGAAGTGAAGAGGAGAAAATAGGAGCAATTGAGAGAAGAGATCAAAGCAAATTTTCATGTTAACCTTTCCATGAATTATCAGAATTAGGGATTAGAAAGGATTTTTTTAAAGACTTCTGGAAGGCTAATGAAGGTATCTTTGGCTCTCAGCTGTGATTTGGTTTGAAGGGTGGTCAGAAGATTAACAAGAAGTTAATGTTTGAAAAAACACAATTATTGCTTCCCTCAAAAGTCAATTCTTCTTGTGAAAAATTTTTGTATTTTTTTCCCTAAATCATTCTCATCTAATCTCTTGAGACACAGCTGACATTTGTAGACATTGATATGAAGTGAAAATTCATCCTGTGGCACATAAATGTTGAGTGTTTCATAGCTGTGATTGTTTAGGACAGAAATTCCTGTAACAAAACTTGTGTCAAGAAAAGAAGGTTGTATTTCAAATCAGAGTACTAGGCCCTATTGTTGTAAGGGATTACTAGGTCTACGCAGAGTTCCTAGAGGCTTATGTATGTAATGGGTCTTTCGTTACCTGAAAAATGGCATAGCAGGGCCAGTGGCACCAGCTGTTCAGGCACATAGGGTCCTGTGCATGGGAGGCACCACACTTGTTCAATTCTCTGCTAATACTACCTTGAAATTCCTAATCATTTTAAATAACAGCATCACATTTTTACTTGGCACTGGGCCCTGGAAATTATGTACCCAGTTCTATTTACAAGGTTTTTAAATGGACATATAATTTTAATGTGGGGAGGTGGAGACAAGAGGAAAATAATAAATTTGTAACAGGGACCATAAAATGGAGTAGGATTTTATTTGGTGTCCTTAAGGTCAGACAGAACTATCTTTTGCCTTGCTTTTTCTAGTCCTTCCCTCTACATAAAGATTTTTATGAGCCTTTCTGATGATTGGACCTTCTTGATTATTACCATCTGAGAATTGTTACTGTATTTTGTGCTAATGTCAACCAAACAAAGGACAGGCCTTGTAATTGTATTCTCTATACGTCTTTCAGTTCCTGGAATGAAATGGATGGTCTAGACCTAAATTTTCAAGTATTATTCCAGAGCCTGAGAGTTTCTCAGAAATTCCTGGAAGGGAGGGCAAGCAAGGGGAGGTGGTAAGGAGGTCTCCCCTCAACTGTAGTATCCCTGGCCCTAAATGCTCACTTAATACACAGGACCAGACCTCTGATCTTACACACTGGGAATCTGAGAACATTCCCTTTTTAAATGGCTCAGCTACTAAAATTAAAGCTAAAAAACGACTTATCTAAACCATACAATTTAGCTTCATAGCTCATAATTAGACATGATGGGCATCTCCCTCACTGAGGAGGAATATGGAGTTTAGTCATTAACCTGCATGGTCTTGTAAGTGCTTTCCTTTTAGACTAAACCTTTTACTCATTGTTGTGTCATTCACAACAGCAGATGAAGTCAATTATCATTTATCAAACCCTACTGTGTGTCAGCCACTCTGGTAGGCGGAAAGAAACGGAACAATTCTAAGCACAGGGAGATAGAATGTGAGCTACTTGGGAACCACCAGCAGGTTCAGTGCCTGGAACATGGGGAGGTAAACGTGAGCAGGAAAAGGGCAGGCAAAAACATGGAGGCGAGAGACAGAAGTCAGGGCCTGGAGGATAAGAATTCAGGATTGCAATTTCTCAGTTTGCTCAGTGTAAGAGCTAACATCCACTGAGTCATTACTGCTCCAGCCACTCTCCGAGATGGCTGTGCATGTAAACGGAATGGAACCATTACGATAACCGCACTAAGGAGGTGCTCTTAATCACCCCGTTTTACAGGTGGTAAATAGAGACGTCATTGGCTCAAGAGTGCACAGCTGGTAAATAGAATTTGTATTCAGTTTAGCCAAGTTGTACAGGGACTTCATATAAGTTTGCGGAAAAATATAAAACAATTTTGAAATTAACGCATAGGATTTTTTAAATATAATACAATAATGAATATTCTGGAGACCCCTTATACTTTTTTTTGTTTTGTTTTTGCCATAGGGCACATGTGCTCTCTGGAGAGAGACAAAGAGAGACAGTGAAAGAGAAAGTGAGAAAACACCCACCCCACAAGGGGTACGGCCATGACCCAACCCCTTCTCCTCCATTCTCCTTTTGGGACTTTGGCACACAGGCACATGCACTTGGTGTGATTTTCAAGCCACCAGATGTGGGACTCAAAGTGTTGTTAGCTATGTGGGAGTCTGATGCCTTAACCACTGCACGACCTACTGACCCCTACCCCTCATACTTTTAAGCTCTATTCTGCTTTACGTTCTGACTACTGCCACTTGATTTCAGTGCCCACATGTGCGTTTGTGTTTCCAGTTGTGTTGTCAGCCACTTCCTAGACAGCATCTTAACTTCTAATGTTCTCAAAGTGGGTCTGGCAGGCAGAAATCCCCTTGGAGATTCACAAGAATTTTTTCCATCAAAAACCAATCAAATATGCGCTGACCCAGTAGCATAGTAAGTAGCTAAGTGCTGTGTGTAGGGAGCCAGATTTCACATGGCGAACTGCCCTGGGAGTCCCTGCACAGAAGCTTGAAAAATGTTAAACACATGTGCGTGCATGCCCCAAATCCTGATGGGATGGAAAAACAGAGGGAAAAGTTTGCAAAGTGATCATGCCCCATTGGGAGGCTCACTCTCTTTCACTTGTAATTACAATAAATCAAGTAAAATTTGAAAACTATTTATTTAAATCAGAACTCTTTGGCCCAAAGGAGCCGAAGGAAATAAAAATGCATCTCCTGATTTTTTCAACTTGTCTCTTCCTCACTTTTCTTTAGAGCCAGACAAGATACAAAACCTGCACTGCCGGCCTCAGAACTCTACAGCCATTGCTTGTTCTTGGATCCCTCCTGATTCTGACTTTGATGGGTATAGCATTGAATGCCGGAAAATGGACACCCAAGAAGTCGAGTTTTCTAGAAAGCTGGAGAAGGAAAAATCTCTGCTCAACATCATGATGTTAGTGCCCCATAAGAGATACCTGGTGTCCATCAAGGTGCAGTCGGCCGGCATGACCAGCGAGGTGGTTGAAGACAGCACTATCACGATGATAGACCGTAAGTGACCCTGGTGGGGTGCGTGTTGTCTTCTGTCACCCGTGGTGGAGGGACTTTATGCCCTTCTCTGTTATGTCTGCCACCGTTAGTCACAGGCATACAGTTCACTTTTACATAAGCCCATTTTGTTGTCAGTTGGAGAATAGGATCTAAAAGGCTCCAGGAAATGGGAACATTTCTCTGGGTAAAGCACCCTGATAGCACACAGGTTATATGATCTTAAAGAATCTAAATGAGTTAGTATTTAAATACATCACTCTGCCTGATACAGAGCTATAATGGAATGTTTGAGCAATTTGAAGTTATATCTTTGGAAAATCCTGCTGAGGAACTGCCTTTCATTATGTTTAATGTGCCACTGGTAAATCACTTCCTGTGCCTACTTCCCTTCAGGAAGGAGGAGTTTCTTGATTACAAGTTTGAAGCACATAAACAGACACATACACACATGCAGAGGTGTGTAGGTGAGCGCAGTCCTTCATTTCACTAGCTGTTGTTTATGATGTGAAAGCAGAGTTACGACCCCTCTTAGCTCTTTCTCCACCTGTTTTTCTCTAGGCCCCCCTCCTCCACCTCCACATATTCGTGTGAATGAAAAAGATGTGCTAATTAGCAAATCTTCCATCAACTTCACTGTCAACTGCAGCTGGTTCAGCGACACCAATGGAGCTGTGAAGTACTTCACAGTGGTGGTGAGAGAGGCTGATGGTGAGTTATCATGAGTTAATTTTACTGTAAGCTCCAGAATTGCTTCCTCAAAGGTCATGTGGATGCTCTTTCTGTGACAGTTTTTAAGAATAGAAAACTTAATCTTTGTATCATTCACCTCTTTGCTGAATAAAGAGAAGTGCAACAACAACAACAAAACTGCTCCAAGACTCTTTTGGCAATAAATCCTATTATCTCCTTGGTTTAATTTTCTTAGCTTTTATTTGCCAGAGGGTGCTTAGAAGGACCAGACACACACACACACACACACACACACACACACACACAGAGAGAGAGAGAGAGAGAGAGAGAGAAAAGAGAGATAGAGAGAGAAACCATCCCCCAGTGGAGAGTAATCACACTGTAATCCCTTTTCCTCCATTTCATCATCCTCTCAGGATTTGGGGCACACACACTAGGGCCAAGTTCAAACAACTTGGTCAGCCATGTGGGATCTGGCTCTCTTAACCCCAGACTATGGGACTGGCCCTCACTTTAGTTATTAAATGGGAGAATAATAACAATAGAACTGTAATAATAATAAAAACAATGATCATCATTCTTTGAGCCCTTACTATATGCCAGGTACTGGTGGAAGCCCATTGCAAATATTTACTCATCCGGTCTTCTGTGCTGCTCCTCCTATTTTGTTCTGCCATTAAATAGCCATATACTTCACCTCTTTTTAGCATTCCCTATCTGAAATACCTCAAGCCACCATACAGTCCCAAACCACCCACCAATTCACAAAAATACCCAAAATCTTGTTCTGCCATTAAACAGCAATATGGTTCAACTCTCTTCACCCCTCCCTGTCTCAAATACTTCAACCAGCCATATACTTCCAAACCACCCACCAATTCACAAAAATATCCAAAAGTTTGAAAGAGGGAAAAGATGTTCATGACATGAGAAACATTCCTACTTTCTCCACTGAATTTCAAATAGTATGTTTCATTCTCTAATTTACTAAATTATTCCATTTCTACCTGATTTCCTACATATTGGGCAAGTGATGGATAATAGTTATCACCACATCATACAAGTACAGAGTCTGATCTTTTCACTTTTTTATACCAACATTTGTCACAACCCCTATAGAGAATTGTATGTGGGGCACACATGTCCATGTATGTTTTAGCTATTGAAGTTTTATATGATATTTTTCCAGAAGAGATGTTTGAACCTAGAATAATGTAAATATGTTTTTCCTCTGTTATTTTTTTCAAAATTGTTTTCAGTGCTGCATAAGAGTTTTCTTAAACATTCCTGACAATGTTGGCTCATTTGTGTGTAAGAGGGAAATTATTGCTCTAAAAAATACTAAAACAATGATATGTGAAACAAAGGGGGTGCAGAAGTAATCAGACCCAGCACCTGTAGCAGGACACAGATTCTTGTCTGCAGCTCATGAAGAATTAGAGATGCAGACATAGGTAAGCAAGCAGAGTTTATTCAGAGAGAGAAGGTAGGGCAGAGCTCCCAAGCAGAGAGTGGGCCCCAAGTGGGTTGCCGATGTGGAACTGGAATGGGGGGGGGTGTTATCTGGGTCAGAGGGCCTTGTCTGTTCTTGCTCTCAGGTGGTACATGCATTCCCCATGTGAGGGGACTGACATGCTGGATGGAGGCAGTTATTCTTCCTCATTTTGGAGTGCATATGGAGATCAGGAGACCTTTTTGCCTAAAAGCTCTGGTTCATAAAAGACCATTACCTTCTTTCTGGAATGTAATAAGACCAGCATTTTGGGGGCAGGGCATAAGATTGTCTTTGGCCCCAAGTGTGGTTTTCTTAGAATGAACTAATTGTTTGGACCATACTTTTCCATTCATTTAAGCTAATTGGCCTATTATTTCCATTAGGTCCCAGCACTTAAAATTCCAGACTTAGGAGGTGTGCTGTCCTGAGTCCCTATCTCTTAGTTATTTTGTTTGTATATCTCTAAAGTACAGTACAGATATGGGTCAGAGGGTCAGAGATCAGGAAGGAAAGTTATTTTTCCATCATGTTATAGTAGGCTAACTGGTTTGGGGAAGGCTGCCTGGTTTTGGGGTCTCCTGGAGTCTCAGTCAGTACTCCATCTTGATTCCCCTATTTTCCCTAACTGCCTAGCCTGAATAGCCTCTATGTCAGCAGTTTCTAGGCCAAAAGGTACTTTGGTTTCATTGGGTATCTAACTTAAGTCTATGTGATTTTACATTTCATTTAATTATACTAAAGATGGTTATGTATAATTAATTAAATAATTTTAAGGGTCAGTGGTGTGTCCCAGATTTCCTCACAGCTCATAATTGAAGATAAATTGGTGAACTGTGGAAATATCTTAGATTTAATTACACTGCAACAAAGATTATGTTTAACTATGTGATGTAAAGTAGTTTCCAAAATGAAGTCACATGCCAGAAAGCAGCTTCGTGCTCTCCAGCCAAATAGGTTTCCATTTTTGATGTCCATGAAGATGGGCTATGGTCTAAGTAATCTAAGATAGCAATCCATCTCATATATGTCTCATTTATAGCATATAAGCTCATGCTAAAGACATTTCTTTTCAACTGCTATCAACAAAATAATATTTCCAAGGCCTAGTCATTGTGAAAGGATTTTTATTAAACAAAAGTCTGCGATGTTGCGATGAACTCCCCATAGTATCACTCCTTGAAGTTCATTGTAAATGGTATCTGATCTCTATATTTATCTTCCTAATTATACTTTTCTCCAGCCAACATTGAAAATTTGCAGTGCCAAAACACACAGCAGGCTGGGTGGACAGGGAAAGA